GTTTGGATGTTCCTGCCTCGGCCTTCCCTGAGGAGGACGCTGTTCCCAGCAGAAGCTCTGAGAGGACCAACCCCACCCTGTTTGGTTTGATTTGGTTTGAGCTATTTCAAGGCTTCTGTCTCTGTTGGGAACTTGCCTGCAGAACCTTTCTTTGGACTCCTTCCACATCAGCTCCTGGTGGAAGCAGACAAAGGATGATATTCTGCAGATCCAGATGAAGGTGCAGGAACGGTGGGATTTTTGATTACTTTATTGGGAACGAAATATGAAGTATTGGAAATCCAGTGGCTATTTTTGAGCACCCTGGAATCCCAGCTCCTACCTGGACTTGGAGTCTCTCAGCACTTGGACTTTCCAGGCTCTGACTCATTCTGCTGCCAGCTCTGGAGTTAATTTGGGTTCTCTCCTGCCCAAAATGCTGCTTAAATTCCCAAGGGTTTTTCTGCATTATTTTGAGAGATTCACAACAGAAATTATTTTGCCACCAGAGATAACAGCAAACAGGGAGGCAGAGCAGCAGAATGGCAGAGCTGGGCCAGGAATCCCTGGGGATGAACAGTCTGACCCACGGGGGCTGGCTCCAGGTGTTCAGCCCAAGGCTAGACCCGACTTCCAGGTCCATCTGCAGAACTTCCACTGGTTGCAGGAATGCTGGAGTATCCCAGCCTTCTCCTGTAACCCGGTTTGGAGACTCGCCATGGCTCGGGGCATCATCTCTGCACGAGTTTTGCCTGTTGCACTAACAGTGACAGTCTCTCCTGGGACTCCTCAAAGGTTCAGGCCCTTCCAGCCCAGCTGTGCACAGCTGGAATGGGATTCTGTACCCACCTTGGGGTGAGGTGAGCACCAGACACTACACTACCCACCTGGGAGACACCACGTAAGCTGGACTATACTGTGAGTACTTTATCTCCTGCTCTGGCCCTGGCTGGGAGATGTGGATTTGGGAATGGCTGACAGCAGTGAGGTGAAGACAAGTGCAATGTGCACGTGGGACTGTGAAGTGCCAGGGGATGGGACAGAAGGGCCCCCCCCTGGCCTGTGCAGGGTGTTTGGGAACCAAGTGTCTGTTGTGTTTGAGTGTTTGAGTCGTAAAGGAAATAAAGTGTTTGTCTGGTCAGTGGTTCTTGCTGGCCTGGGAAGGTTCCAGCTGTTTCCTAATCCTGTAAATCCTTCCCCCTTTCAGCTTCCTGATCTGTGTTGCTCCTGTAACCACCCCCCTCACCTCCCAGTGCTGGACACAGGGGAGATTCCTGGCTGTGTTCCAGCCCCTGCACTGGGATGTTCCTTGTGGTTCAGCTTCAGGTAACCTCTGCAGTGGGGAGGGGGCTTTTCTGTGGGCATTGCCCACCACAGGTGAGCCAGGGCAGCTTTGTGTGAGCCCTGGAGCCACACTCTGCCTTGGCCCTGTCTCCTTTGGGTGACCTCAGGAGCTGGTGCCACTAATGCCAGCCCAGAGCTGCCCTAAGAGGCTGGAGGATTTAAGGAAGTGTCTTGTCTTGTGCAGGAGACCTTAATTAACATTTTGGGCACGAGTACATGAGTATGGGGTGGGGAAGCAGCCCTGGCTGGAGCTGCTTTGCCCCTCAAGGAGGGGCTGCAGGGACTGAGACAAAACCAGCCAAGCCAGGTTGTAGCAGTCAGTGTTTATTTGACCTTGTCAGTTTTTAAGAAGCATCCCCACAGTTACAAAACACACCATCTTTGTTTGCAGTGAAATGCTGACCCGACAGGAACCATTGGCATTTTGGTCACAATCACTGTTCTTTAAAAAAAAAAAAGACAAAAGGCACTTACAGAAGTCCCTCCCTCTCCCTTGGCACTGACGGATCGGGGTTTTGTTTTTCATTGAAGCAGCTTGATCCTGATGCATCGTCGTGAGATTGACGACAATAAATAAGAAACCATCTCTTGGTGACTACAGACACAGAAATACACATTCAGGGGGATTTACTGGTGAGGGCTGCAAGTCAAGTTTATTGCTGTGAGGGTGTGACTCCTGACTTGAGTCCCTGTGGCTGCAGCTGTGCCTTAGCTGGGACACTGAGGGGACCCTGGGATGCTGGAACGAGTAACTGCTGCTCTGAGAACTGTGAGTGCTGGAAGCTGTGGGTGCTGCCCACCACAGAGGGTTTGGGCTCTTCAGGGAACAACTGTGGGGGGGCAGAGCTGCTCTCCCTTCTTCCAGGCAAGGACAGAGGGAGGGCAGTTGTCTGATCCCATTTCTGCTCCTCTTTGATTAGAAGAAGCACTTGGTAAGTCACACACATCAAGTCACACAAACACACACACACACACCCACACACAGGGCAAGGTGGGTAAGGAACAGGCACTTGGGAACAAAACTCCTGATGGATTTGGGAAGTGTCCTTCTTACAGCTTCCCCTTTAGCTTAGGAAGGGCTGCTCCAAGCAGTTGGGGCCCTCTCACTCCTCTTACCTCCATGTCTCCTTCATGCACTTCACTCCTACCACCGACCTCTTTCAGTGAGGATACTCAAGCTGAGAACTAAACTCTGGGTCGTGAACTGAAATTTTGGGCTCCTCAAGAGATTTCCAAGACCTGCTTGGTTCATTTGGTTCATTTCAATCACTAAATATTCCCACAGGGCCCTTGGGGGTGGCGATCTACCCCCATGTAGCTGTGAGTGGAGCAAGGAGCTTAGGAGCTGGATGTGACCCAGCCCTGTGCCATGATCAGCTGCAGGGACACGTTCCAGGACCCTGGGACACCTCACCCCTGCTCCTGTTACTGCCTTGGGGATTTGGGGACAAGGCTTGCACTGGCATTGTCACCAAATAAGTCAGGGACATCTGCCAGAGCAGAGCCTGGTGCTGTGCTGCCTGGAAAGTTAAAGGAACAAAAAATCCAGGGCCAACAGTTTTACATCTCTGGCTTGAAAACCAGGGGGTTTTTTTGGAGCACAGAGCACAAAGCTGACCAACACCTGGCCCCACCCCTGGGTTCAACCACGAAGTGCTGGCTCTGCCTGCTCCAGGCACCTCCTGCCCTGAGCAGGGATCCTCCCTCTGACCTTCTCTGTCATCTCCCACCTGCCCTTCCTGCCATTACCAGCGTGTCCTGGTTACCAGGATTGGATTTCCCCTCTACACTCCACTCCTCTGTGCCATCTGCTCTTCCAACACCTCCACGCTGACCAACCACCAGCTCACTTGAACTGATCCTCTCTCTCTTCTCCTGCCCTCATCCCTCTGCAACCTTTCCACAGCATCTGTCCTGCACAGCACCCAAATTTTCCAAAGGTAACTCAAACCTGTCCTAAAGCCATCCCAAAGCACCCACTGTCCTGCAGCCACCCAGACGGGATGTGGCCAAGGAGCCAAGGAAGCACATGGATCATGGAATGAAATCTTAAAAAGTATCCAGCACAGCTGGGGCTGGAGGGGAGGCTCAGCAGGTGATGGAGCAATGGAAGTGCCAGGGGAGACCCCATTCTCTGCCTGGAAAGGTCTCCCCTGCCATGGGAAGGGGCTTCCAGGAGCATCAGAGGCACCTCCCCTGCAGCACAGCCCGCCTGAGCCTTCCCTTCCACCCTCTGGCCTGTCCAAAGCCTGGAGCAGGTTCTGGAAGACACGGAGGAACCCCCTGGGGGCTTCCCCCCCTTGCCCTGAGCCAGCCCGGCCGACCCTCAGCCAGGAGAGCACACGCACCACACACACACAGACACCCCATCCTTATATACACGGGACATTCCCAGGAAGAAGCACTTAATACATCCTTTAAATAACTCTGACAATAGTATTCTGTCTCCTATCTACATGTTTCAAACATGGTACCGATGCTATGAAAATATAGCAAACATACAAAAATATATACATTTAAAAAACAAACACACCCCGTATAAATTACTTACAATAGCCATAAGGTGAAATGGGGCCGAGGAGGGGAGCGCAGACCCCGGGGAGGGGCAAACAGGCCCTGCTCTGCACCCCCCGTGCTGTGAGCTGGGGGTGCCCCATGGCACAGCCCAGCTGTAGCCCAGCAGCTGTAGCCCAGCACACGGCCAGTCCCGGGGGGGGCAGGGCTGGAGGGACCCCAAAAAAGCTCCCTCAGGGCTTCACCTGCCTCCTTTGTGCTGTAGGGAAGGTGCTGCCTGAGCAGGGGCTGCGCTCTCCTCCTCACTGCCCATTTCAGCTTATGATTTAAACAAACAAAATACTGCTTTTGTGATATATTATCCCGTTCTTAGCTCGCACGTGTCACTGTAGCCGAGGAAAGCCTTGTTTAAAGTGCTGGGCAGTACATAGGAACAAGTAAACCAAAAAAATACATATACTTAGGGCAATACATTCCTTGGGTTAGAGAAGCCAAGCAGCCAGCTGTGCCCAGGGGCCACGGCGGGGGGACAGGGACAGGTGGGGACCACGGTGACACCAGCACCTTGGGAACCCCAAATTGGAGGAGGCTGGAGCAGCTCCAGAGTCTCAAAGCCCTTGGGCCGAGCTGCTGTTCCCTGTCCCCCCCAGCCTGGCCGGGCTCGCTGGAGCTTCCAATGTCCTTTGTTTTAAATATTGGATTTCTTTAAATACAAATAATAGTACCAATTTCTGGAGGATAAAAGTAGCCAATACTGGAAATTAACTGATCTGGGCGTAGATAGCATTTATCCATATATCTATTTATGCTTAAAAAACAAGGTGGGTTAAATACCTTCTCGAAAGCTGTCGCTTTCCTCCACAGTGCATCTGGTCGACAAAAATCCAAGACTTGGTTCAAACCCTCCAGGCCCGGGGCTCTCCCGTCCTTTCCCATCCGGCACAGCCAGCAGGGAAGGGGCTGAGCTTTGTCCCGCTCCCCCCAGTGCCCGCACCCCGTCGTCACCACCCTGGTGCCCGCTCCAAGTGGGATCTCCTGCACCTGCCCGGCCCCAGGGGAAAGGCTCGGCCTCGTCCCCCGCCCTGTAATACTGGAATGCCCCCGTGGGGTCCGGGAAGGCCGTGGGGTCCGGGAAGGCCATGGGGTCCGGGAAGGCCGTGGCTGTGCCAGCGGCGTGGCGGGAGAACCCCGTGTGTCCCGGCCGGCCCAGCCGCCGGGCAGCTCCCGAGGCTGCAGGGCGGGCACAGCCCACCCTGGGAGAACCCCTCCCCGTGCCCTGCCCGGGCATTGCTCCCACACCCCGTTACTTGACCGTGGGGTGCACCCTGTTCTTGGCGCGGAGGGGCCGTTTCCTCCTGACGGCCGGTGCGGCCGCAGGGCAGGGTTTGCCGGGGGCCACCGCGCTGGCGCCTCGGCTCGCCCGCAGGAGCCGGCTGGGCACCGAGCCCCGGCTGCCCGGCACGGCCCCGGCCCCGCGTGGGGACAGCGGGGGCTGCACGTCCGTGTCCGACACCTCGGGGGAGGGTCCCTGCTCCGAGCCGCCCGCACAGCCCCTGCCCGGCCCGGCCTCGGGGCCGCGGAGCCTCCTGCGGGAGCGGCGGCTCCGGGAGCCCTCCAGGAGCAGCTCGATGCGCGACACGTCCTCTGTCACCTGGTTGACACGGTCAAACTGGGCCAGCAGCATCTCGAAGAGCGAGAGGAGGCGCTGGATGTCGGCGTCCACTTCCAGGCTGTCCCGGGTGCTCAGCACGAGGCTCAGCCCGTCCAGCTGGCTGGAGGACGTGGAGGCCCTGGAGCTGTCGGAGGCGGCGCTGGGAGTGGGGCCCCGGAAGGACTTGGAGTCACTGGAGTCTCGGGAGGGCAGCGGCTCCATCCCTTCGAACCTCACCTTGTGCCGGAACTGGAGGGAGCAGGGGCAGGGTTAGTTCAGAGCTCCAAGAGGGAACACTCCCAACACCCCGGGGCTGCTCCCAGTTATTCCTTTTGTGACAAGCCATGGACCTGGGGGATGGATCCCGGTTAAAACCGCATGGAACTGTGGGGCTGAGAACTGGCAGCTGATGGCCCTGCAGTGCCCCATCCCTAACCCAGCCTTGGGCCCTCAGGAATAGCGACTGCTCCAGCCCTCCCCTGCCAGAGGACCTCGGCTGTGAGCAGCAGTGGGACGTAGCCAGGGACAAAGGAAGGCTACAGATGGTGGACATTGCTCTTTGCACATCTGGCCCCTTCTCCAGGAGCCCCCGGGCTGCTCTCACCTCCTTGGCCTTGCTGAAGCCCATCCACATCTTGAGCCTGCGCACGAACAGCTCCACCATCTCATAGTCCTGGGGCTCGAAGGCAGGACGGTACAGCTCGAAGTGCATCTCGCGGTAGCTGTGGATCAGCACTACCGTCAGCAGCCTCAGCACCACCCACACCTCCAGGGCCACGTAGCTGGTGCAGAACAGGCAGTAGAGCCCCGAGGCCTCGGGCAGGCAGGGCCGGAGGCTCCCGCTGCCCCGGAGCAGGGCCAGCAGCAGCAGGAGGCTGCTGCCCACGCTGCGGAACGACTCGGAGGAGGAGGAGAAGAGCTGCAAAGGGGACATGGGAGATGTGATGAGAAGGCATCAGCGGCAAAGCATTCCCCTAAGCCAAGATATCCCCTCTTACACGGGCACTGAGGGGTGGCCTGTGAATCAGCTGTGACAGGGACAGCCCCTGCCCAAAGCTGCCTGTGGCAGGGTGGGCATGGAGCACCCGGGGGGCCCACGGGCTTTGCTCATGTCGTGCCATGGTGAGGGAGGAGGGACAACAGCACCACAACCAGCCCCCTGTGAGGGGAGGGGGACAGGGGCAGTTACCAGGAAGCCGAGCTGGGCGTAGGCCAGGAGGAGGAGGGCGAAGGCCATCCCTGCAGCCACGAGCTCCTTGGCCGACTTCTGGAAGGTCTTCCCGAACACTGACCACTGCCTGACGAACCGCAGCTGCCTGGCAGCCTGGGGAGGGGAGAGGGGAGTTCCAGCACAGACCCCTCCCAGCACGGGAGGGCCTCACACACGTCTGAGAAACGCAAACCCTGGCAGAGCACAGACCATCCCAGGCCACAGGTGCCTTGCAGACAAAATCATCCCATCAGCCACGCCTGGCTGGATCTGCCAAGGGAATTGGGGGCCCACAGGCTGTAGAGACCCAAAGTGCTACAGCAGAGACACACGTGGCCCCCCTGCCACCCCTCTACCCTGCAGCAGGGCCTGATGTGGCACCAGCATCCAACCAGTGCCTGATCAGGACCTCAATCCTGCATGTTTTCCTTCAGGGTCCTTTGCTGGCCCTGCCAGGGACCAGGCAGGATGGAAAGCACCCAGTTCCCATGTGCTGCTCCCCCCCCAATCCCTCTGTACCTGCACAGTCAGCAGGAAGAGCAGGGACGCGGCCAGGCTGCTGAACACGGAGCTGAGAAAGGCCACCTGGTAGAAGTTGGTGAAGCCCCTGCGGTTGTTGAGGTACTTGAGCCACTGCTGGTCAGCGAGGGTGACCTGGCTGAGGTGAACCACCACGGTGCTCGTGGTGAGCAGGATGAAGAGCCACTGGCCGTAGTTGCCCCAGTGGGTGAAGTAGGCTCTGCCCTCCTTCTTGATGGACAGCGACTCCGACACCACGAAGTAAACCACAAACATCATGAGGAAGACCTGGGGGAGGGACGGGGAGGTCACCAGGGAAGGAGGAACAGAGAGGTCACCAGGGAAGGAGAGGGAAATGACTGCTGTGCTGCACCCAGGACAGCAAATGCCCCCAGCCTAGGCCCTGTTCCACCACCTGGAGCACTGCACTGTCCTGCTCTGCCTTCCCTGCTCATCCAGTGCCCCACTCCCTTCTGAAGCTCCCCAGAGCCCCTGTCCAATGCCCCTGTGGCAGGGTGGCAGTGCCCAGGGGACAAGGTCCCTGCAGACACCCAACCCAGCCACGGTCTCTGGGGTTGTCCCTACTGAGGGCAGAACAAACCCTCATGTTTCCACAGCGACACACATGAGCTCAAGGAAGCAAAAATCCTGAGACAAGACCAAGAGGAGGAGGAACCTCCTTCCCCTCAGTGGTGCCAAGGCTATTCCCTGTGTGCTGCCCAGGCCTGGGAGCAGAGTGGTGACAGGCAAGGGGACAAGTGGATTCAGGCAGGGGAGCTTGAGTGCACAGTGACCAGCCTGGCTGAGGGTCCCCAGAGCCCCCCTGCAGTGACCCCAGGGCAGAGGGGTGCGGGGGAGGTACCCCACTGACCATCATGAGGAGCTGCAGCGTGACCCCCCCGCTGAGCCGCAGCAGCGGGAAGGGGCTGATGGTGAGGGCAGCGATGGCCTGGCCGGATCCCGGGAATTCCAGGCGCAGGGTGATGGCCACGTGCAGGTCCACGCTGGGGTTGTACTGCAGCAGCTCCACAAACACTGCCCGGCTCCTGCGGGGCGAGAGGAGCAGCTCAGGGACTGGCACAACACCAGCTCCGGGGCCACTGCCGGGTGGGATCGTTGATCCCGTTCCCTGTGACACTCCAGCAGAATCCCTGGACACCCAGCTGACAGCAGGACCTTCCTCTGCCCCTGCCACACTCACATGTTGTCGATCCATGTGTGCTGCTGCAGGAAGTCCAGCTGGGCCCGGCTCTCCTCCAGTGAAGGGCCCAGCTCCTGCACGTACCCGCTGCTGTCGTAGAAGGACATGTAACCCCAGTACCAGATCCTGTAGAGGAAGAGGAGCCATGGCATGAGGATGAAGGGCACTGGTTGCTCTCCTCTGTGGCAGGCCAGGAGCAGGTGTGCAGATGCAGATCCTGCCCCTCAAGAGCTGCCTCAGCATTTATTTCACAAGACAAATCATAGGGGTGCACTGATCCACCTCAGTGTTCCCAACCTCAGAACAGCCCCAGGCCCTGTGGTGGCCCATGAAGATGCCTCCAGGGTCAAAATAGAGCAGAAACAACAGTGATTCATGTCCAGTGTGCAGGACAAGCTCCCATTACCCCCTTGAACAGAAATCTAGTGCTGCTCTGTGGGTGCTGGGTTACCCTCCCTGTCTCTGCCCTGGAAGGTGAGAGTTGAACCCTCTGCCCCTGGGCCGCCCCAGAACAGCACAACACTGCTGTTCAGACAGTTTGGGATGACATGCATGTCCCCAGGGAAGCTGGGTGCCCCCCACCACTCCCACAGCCAGTGTGGGTGTGCCCAGGGGAGCCCTTTGGCATTTGTGTCCCTTTGCCCTTTGCCAGGATCAGGGGATGCAGTTGGCCTCGCTGAGGGCTGGGAACCACCCAGGGCACAAACCCAACTGTACAGACTTTGGAAAGGTCTGCAAGGACCAGCTGTCCCATCTCTGGAGGACGGGGGATGGAGCAGGGGGTGGGAGCAGGCTGGGCAGCCCCTTACCCTGCCAGGTCGGGTGGGGAGTGGGCCCACGCTGCCGTCACGTTCCCGCCTGCCCTCTCCCAGCCCGTGCCGTAGTCAGCGGTGGCAAAGCTGTGCTGGTCAGTGCAGCTCCTCTGGGCCCTGCCCATGCCAGGTAGGATGTCCTGGGCATGGCACTCAGCTGGAATGAGACCACACTGTCACCCCCAGGGAGTCCAGCACAGCCAGCGCTGGGGCACAGCTGAGCTCACACCCCCAGCATCTCCCTCCTCCCAGACCCCTCCACACCTCAGCCATCCCTCCAACCTTTCTCTTCAGCATAAATCCCCATGATTTCACCAGGGTGAGGGGAAGGGAGCGTGCAGAAGTTAGGGATTAAGAAAAGAATGGATATTAACAAGGAAAACGTAGGAGTAATGATATATCCACACCACCAGCTCAGATAGGATTTGCTGGGTACAGAACACAGGCATTCTAATCAGCCTTGGGGTAACTATGAACCACCACTCTGCTCCTGGAACACATCACCGGCTTTAAACTACCTGAGGGCAAGGTTAGATGGGAAACTGGGGAGAAATTGTTCCCTGTGAGGGTGCTGAGGCCCTGGCACAGTTGCCCAGAGAAGTTGTGGCTGCCCCATCCCTGGAAGGGTTGGATGGGGCTTGGAGCAACCTGGGCTACTGGAAGATGTCATGAGTGGGACTGATGGGCTTTAAAGGCCTCTCCCAACCCAAACCATTCCAGGCTTCCATCACCAGCAGCCCCAGTTCATCCCTGCAGAGCAGAACCAGGGGCTCCCTAAAGTACAAACTACAAACTAAAACCCGCCCGTGTGGCCTCTGCTGCCTTCCCTCAGCCCCAGCTGCACCCAGACCTGCCCATTCCATCCCTCCAGGAGTGTCCCCAGCCCCGTGTGAGAGCCCACGTACCCTCCTGCAGGCGGAGCTGGCGCAGCCGGGCCGTGCCCAGCGTGGTGCTGTGGCTCTCCTGGCCCGAGCCGTTGTTGTGCAGGTACGGGAGGAACACCCGCGACATCCAGAGCCAGAACTGATCCGACCTGCAAGGGGAACACGGTGTGGGAGGGAGGCAGAGCCCCTGGGGCAGCTCGGCCAGGGCCAAGTCTCACCCAGCCTGGGGCTTTCACCTGCCCGGGGCACCGAGCACTGCAGAGCCAACCTGGCTGCTCTCCCAGCCAGCAGGCACAGTCCCACCCCTTCCAGGGGCTGGGATGAGGTCAGAAAAAGGATTATCTGACATGACCTAAAAACGACTGAATCCACTTGGCACCTGGATGAGCAGGGGTATGTGGCAGTGCAGTGAGTAAGACATGCTGCTTAGGACCAGATTATCCCCCTTTATGCCACTCTCACCCCAAAAACCCTACCAAGCTCACTGGAATAACTCCTGAGCCACACTGTGGTGAAATCAAAGCTCCAGTGACTCTGGCACAGCCGAGCCACGCTGATGTGCACAGCACCAAGGGCTCTGGAGTGGGACACCCTCAACCCCAGGCAGTGTTCCAGGGTCAGGCTGGGCTCGTGGCATTCCCAGCGGTGTGAAAACTCAGCTGGGAAAATTGTATCCAGTTAAACCAAATGTGCAGAGCGAGGAAGGGCAGCTTCCCTGACACACACCACCACCTCATCCCCCATCCCAGGGCCTGGGCAGGTACCTCTTGATGAGGAGGAATTCGTTGCTGCCCAGCTGCTGCTTGATGGAGCTCTGCAGGAGGAAGGCCCGGCTGGTGCGGGACGTGTCTCCGTAGTTGGTGAGCAGGATCACCAGCAAGAACATCATGTAGATGAGGAAATTCTGGGAAAAAGAGAGTAGATGGGAATTGCATGGAGGAGCTGGATCCCAATCCTGCAGCAGCAGGATCAGGACCTTGAGCAGGCTGTTCTTTCTTTTTTTCATATGAAAAGAGGCTTAAAATGAAACCCAGATCACAGGTTCATAACAAGATTCTTTGCTGAAAGAGCTGCTATATGCTGTCAGTTCAGCTTATCCAATAGTTATGGGGGGGTTCCATCTTTAAAGGGGAATCACTCAGTTAAAAATAACCTGATTCCATCAAAGCAGCTGTGTATTCCCAGCACAAGTGGAGGATCAGTACTGAATGAACTACAAAGGCTGAAATTTCTGCTCCCAGACAGGAAGCTGCATTTCAAAAGACTCAACTAATGAATTTTCCTGTACAAATTGGTGTCTGCTCCACACTCAAACCTTGCTCTAACCTCAAACACCCGAGTTATGGAGCCAAACACCAGCTGCTCCAAATCAGCCCCCTCATGGTTCTGCTTTTCAGCCCCCTCAGAGCTCCAAGGAGAAGATGAAAATCACTGCCAGACTTTTGACAGATGAGGAAACTGAGGCAGAAGCTGAAAACGTGCACCCACTAGCTGAGGGGATCCCAGCCGGGCTGGGAGGACCCACACCAGGATGTATCTCAGCCCCTCTGCCCTGGGCAGCAGGAGATGTCCCACCTTCAGCATCCTGTGCAGCAGTTTGACCTTCCTGGCCTCCTCCTTGGCCTGGAAGAGGGCGAAGCCCTGCGGGGGACGGACTTTGCTGATCTTCTCCGACACGTGTTCCACGCAGGGCTGCTCCACCAGCGTGTCGTCCTCCTCGGGGTGCAGGCGCCTGGCAACCAGGGAGAAGTACAGGGCCTCCAGCAGCACCTGGGGACAGGGAGGGTCTGAGCCTGCGGAGAGCTGTGCCACCCGGGCACTCCAGCAGCAGCAGCTCCTGCGGGCCCTTGAGCACAGCCAGCACAGCACAGCTCCTCCCTGCAGCAGCCAGACAACCCCTAAAACAACGTGCCACCAGCCCTCCCAGCAGCCCTGCCTCCCCTGCTGCTTCTGGCATCCACATCCTTCCCTTCCTGAGGGATATGGAGCTGGGAGAGACCATCCAATGACCATCGGGCCCAGTCTGACTCGATTTCCTCACGGAAAAGGTTGTCAAGCCCTGGCACAGACTGCCCAGGGCAGTGGGGGAGTCCCCATCCCTGGAAATGCTCAAAAACCGTGTGGGTTTGGCACGAGGACAGGGTTAGTGGTGAACATGGTGGGCTAATGGCTGGATCTGATGACCCTATAGGGCTTTTCCCACCCCCCGATTCAGTGATTCTGTGATTAGGAGCTGGACAAGACATGAATTACACACACATGTACAGGTGTGTCACGGTGTCCTCACCTTCAGGGGCTCCCAGACCAGGAAGGATGCCAGAAAGCTGAATATCCCTGAGATGAGCCACATGAGGGCCACGCTGGAGGAAAAGCCCACCCCGATCCACACGGAGACCCCCGTGGAGGTGGCGAAGAGCAGGAGGCTGATGCCATGAGCCAGGTAGGAGCACCAGGGGGGGAGCAGGCGCTTCCTGAACGTTTGGTCTGCAACTGGGAGGAGGAGGGAAAGCAAATGTGAACATTCCTGCCAAAGGGATCCAGTGGGCACAGGAAGGGCTGAGCTCCCCACCCGTCCTGGGTGGGGAGTTTGGAGGGATTATCCCAAACATTTCCCACTAAGCAGCACATGAAGAGATCCAGGCTCCGAAAGAAGGTGGCAGGAAATAGCAGATATAGCCCAAGCCTTTCCTAAGACTCCTTTTGTATTTCCCCTCTGCTCCCCCAAGTGTTGCTGTGTGGGATGGCCCCTGCCCTGACGGGCACAGCCCTGGTACCTGTCCACGTGGACTTGGCTGATCTGCTCACTTCTCTGGGAGGAGCTGCCACGCTCTGCCCTTTGTCGTTCAGCTTCTGCATCATGACAGTCTCCACCTTCTCCCCGAACACGCTGGACCTGCCGAGGCAAAGGGTGACAGCTGTGTCACTGCTGGCACTGAGAGGCAAAGGGTGACAGCTGTGTCACTGCTGGCACTGAGAGGCAAAGGGTGACAGCTGTGCCCTCCTGGAGCGCTGGCTGTGGGGGCTGCAGGAATCATGGCCAGCAGGAGCACAGTGACCCATGGAAATGTCCCGAATCTAGGGGCATTTCAGCTCAGCTGGGAGGGAGGACAAGGGGCAGGAGGCTCGGGCTCAGTGAAGTCTCTGCCCCCCAAACACTTACAGGCCTGAGATCAGATCTGTTTCAGCTCTCATGTACGGCCCCAGGTCCTGGGAGTGGGAGATGCCGCTGGCTCCATCCGCCAGGATCTGCCGGATCAGATCCTCGTCTGGGGAAGGGACAGAGCACAAAGAGCATTGGGCACGAGCACAGCGCCCAGCACACACCAGGGCATGGCTCCACACACAAGGGCTCAGCCAAATGGTGGAACTGGGGAGGAGGAGGAGGGCCAGGGTGATGTCCTTCTCCATGGACAGCCCTCCCCTGCTCCCTGTCCCTCAGCTCCTGTCAAGCCCCAGCTCCTGCTGCTTCAAGGGAGCCAAGTTCTCCTTCTCCAGCCACTTACAGAGGCTCAGGGACACACTGTGGCTTTGCAAGCAGCGAGAAAGAGCTGGTTGCTTGAAGCACTCCCACGGAAACACACCCCTTCTAGCTCCCAGTCTGCTGGCAGTGTGGGACCACTCACTCCAGACTGATCCCCACCAGGATTTCTGCTTTCCCAGATTAAAACCCCTGCTGAGTAGACCCAACCCTCCTCCTCTGCCCTTCAAAGTGAAGCCAGTGGTGATGGCAGCAGCTCTGCCTGTCTAACCTGAGGCAGAGAAGTACCGGGGCTGTCCCTGGTGAATGCCGAGGGACAAACTGTCCTCCTCGGTGGCCAGCGGGGCCTCCAGCCCGAGGTGGCGGCTGGCCCGGCCTCTCTTCAGCTTCTGGATGGTGTTGCCCATGATGGAGGGGTCACTGAGGAGGTCTGGCCAGCTGAGCAGGGCCTCACTGGAGGGCCATCGCACCAGGCTGCGGGAAAACACGAAAGGGGGCATCAGGTCCGTGTGGGGAAGCAGGAGAAAAGGGACTGGGCAGGAATGTCTGCAGGGAAACAGCACAACCCCAGCCCAGCAAAGCAGAAACTCCATCCCCAGGAACTTCCTCACCTTTTGGAGTCCTCCAAGAACAGATCTGTTTTGGTTTGCTCAGAGAAGGCCTGTGGGGCAAACGGAGGCATTTCAGGCACATGACACTGGTCTGTGCCCGGCTAATGCAGCAGGTTGTGAGCACCAGCGGTCACTGGGAAGCTGGAGGTGCTGCCAGCTCTGGGCCCACACCTCCAGGAGCCTGCCCCCCTCCAGAGATAACCCACAGGCACAGCAGGGAGATCCATGACCACAGACAGCTGGAGACACATCTGGGATTGGCCTGGGCAGGTGAGGGATGAAGGGCCGTGCTCTCCCCCAGCACTGGGATTTTCCTGAGGCATTTGAGTGCCTCAGCTCTCCCCCTGACAGCTGGGGTGGACACTGTCCCTGCAGGGAGCACACACTCTGTGCAGCCTGTCCAGCTTTGGGAAGGAAGCATTTACCTCTGCCTGGAGCCCGGGGAAGGTGGGGAAGGAGCTGTCGAGGATTGAGGAGTCCAGGTAGTTGTCAATCTCCAAGGACTGCTGGTCTGAGTGAGTCACTGTGTGGCTGATGGAGACCTGCAGGGGACAGGAAGGAGGGATGGAGGTGACACTGCCACTGCTGCTGAGGATCCCTCCAGCTCCCTGCTCTGGTGGGGAGCCCAGATCTGCCCAGGGGGGCTGAGAACAGGCACAGACCCATCCTCCACTGCCCCCCAGGCTCCTTGGACACCTCATCCACCACAGCCCAGTGCTACCCAGGCTGTCCCAGGCACAAGCTCCCAGGAAGCCCCCTGAGTTTGAAAGCTTGTTCCTGTGTGCTTACAGGAACAAGGAGCATCAGACACAGTTGATGCTCATCAGTCCCTGAGCAGCTGGCTGCAATACTTAATGTGGCTGTTAATTGTGCCTAACTAGTCATTAAATCCCCAGCTAATCCCTTCCCAGCTGCTTAACCACAGCTCTGCTCAGCCAGCTGAGCTGTACCCAGGGCAGACATTGCATTAGAGAGGCTCCAGTGAGCATCTCCTGGGTTCCTGCCAGTGCAGCAAAGGGCTGTGCCTTTGCAGGGCATTTGAGTGAGTGTCACACACTGAAATCAAGAGGGAGGAGGTGCCTAAATAGCTCCTAACATCTGCCCCTTTGGTCTCTGGGCACTGCCAGAGTCCAGGCAGTGATCTGAGGTCAAGGGAGGGAGGCAGAGACTCCCTAAGGGTGAGGTCCCAGGAAGGACAAAATTTAGCCTCAGATAAGCAAAGCTGGTGGCATCCCACCCATCAGAGCAGCCTGCAACCACTCCTCCTCCTCACCTTGCCACGAGCCATCCGGAAGAGAAATAAAATGACCAGGTAGAGGGGATAAACCACCACGCTGGACACCAGACCAACAGCCACCGTGTCCACACTCACAGGGATCAGGTTGGAAACGGCCACGTTGCTGGAGAGAACCAAGAGACACGAGACAGGTGTCAGCAGGAACATTTAGGGTTGCCAGGTAAGAAAGAAGGAGGCAAAACCGCACGACCGGGTATTTCAGGTGGGCAGAGGAAGAAACAGGGGCTGGCCAGGGCACCGAGGGCCCAGCGCACCTGAGGTGGACGTTGCCCACCACGCCGTACCACACGGCGTTGGCACAGAGGAAGAGGAAGACGAGCAGGGAGCAGCAGGTGGCTCTCTGGACGCGGGTGAAGCGGCTGCGGGGCGGGCGGTCCCACAGCGACAGCCACACGTGCTTCTCGAAGAAGCCTCGCTGCAGCTCCGCCACGAAGATCCGCCAGAAGCTCCTCAGCTCCGTCTCGCCTGGGGACAGAGAGGGACACTCGGGGTGGCTGCGCTGCAGGGGGGGACCTGGCTGGGCACACCACACCCCTCCCTGCAGAACAACCTGAACAATTGCACGATTCTGTGGTTCTACCCCGCACAGGTCCTTGCTGTGCCCCGTCCTCCAGCACTAAAGACCCAGCAGAGCGCCTGGCGTCACTGCCACGAGGAAGAGCCAGTGTGGAGGCTCTGGGGCCTCTCTGCTCCCCTGTGCCATGAGAACTGCTCAGCACCCCAAACCCACACTGGGTGAGCACTCACTGGCAGCAAACACCTCCTTCTCCACCATGCCATCGTTGTCCTCGCTCTCCACCGACAGCCAGTCGTTCACCAGGAAGAAGTAGCTCTTGCTGCTCTGCAGGTCCCGCACGATGACGTGCTGCAGGTACCAGGAGGGGCTGAGTCCTGAAAGGGAAGAGATGGAGAAATATTCCATGGCAGATATTTCCTGTGTGAGGACCTGTCAGTGGGACAGCAGCAGTTCCCTGTGACGCCATCACCACCACAGTACCCAGAAAAGCTTGGCACAGCCAGCTCACCCCTGAGGTGACATTTACAGACACTGTCACAGTGCACAGCATGTGGCATCGTATGTGTCTGGGGTGACACCAGGCCAGTCTGTGGAATTCCCCGTGATGGAGACTCCATGTTCCCCCCAGCAATGTGCCCCCAAGCCAGCAGGTCACCAGGAGCCAGTGCAGGCTCTCATCCCTCTCTCCTGGCCCAGGTATCAGGTGGATCAGAGCCTGGTTCTGGCCTGGGGTGTGTGATCCATCCACATGCCCCACCTTTGTTGTCGTGCCAGATGCGGATGCGCCAGATGCTGCCGAGGCTGCGCTCCGTGGCGATCTGGAACACGTCCAGGCTGTTGCGGTGGAAGGCGTTGTCTCCATCCAGGTGCCTGTGACCACTTTTGTTGTCCACCCCGTACAGGGCGATCCCCACGTGGGCCGTGGTACCTGCAGGGAAGGGGCTCACTTAGGGAAGCCCACCCAAGGTGTGGCCACTCCAGCCCCACCATCCTGCCAGGGACCTGCACCAGCGGGGCTGGAATGAGATGATCTCAAAGGAACCTTCCAACCCAAACCAGTCTGTGACTCCACAGTTTTTGACCTGTCCCGTCATCACCCAGTAAGAACTGGGAATGCTGTGGGAAGCCCTGGCCTGACTGCTCAGAGCTGCCTCAAACAGCAGCTCAGCCCTGGGCCCTGCAGGGAACATTCAGCAGGTGACGTGCTGAGGCAGGACCAGGTGAACTACGCAGATGTCACCTGAGGCCCCACGCACGGGAGCAGCCTGTGGGCTAACCTGATCCTCTGCCCCAGCCTGTCTTCACCAGGATCTCGTATTTGTACATCCCGTTCTTCCCGCAGAAGGGAATCACTCCCACCCGGTGCAGGTCGATCATGTCCAGCTTGTGCACGATCAGCGCAGCCACCGAGTAGGTCACAAAGCACACGGCACAGGTCAGCAGGACGATGTAGTTCAGACCCGGGCCTGGGGCCTGGGAGGAAAGAAACATGTTGAAAGGCAACTCTCCTTCCCCAGGAGGATCTCTCTTCCCATTCCCTGCCTCCTTCCTGGCTCTCATCTCCGCTCAGACGTGATCCCACAGACCACAGCAGCAGCTGCCAGGAGCTCTCTGCTCCCACTCACGTCACAGGGACAGAGCGAGGAAGGGCTTGGATACCCTTGGGAGGCAGGGAGCAGCTGGCAGGTGCAATTCCCTGGGATAAAACAGCGCTGGGTGACAGCTGGAAGGAGAGTTTGACATCTCCCTAAGAGGTGAACACACTGCAAGGTGTCCAGATCGGGGACTAAAGCCATCTGCCAAAGGTCTGTTTTCAGCAGCAGCCAGGATTCCCAACCAGAGGACACAGCCCTCTGTGCCTGTCTGCACCTCCCAAAGGCTCCCAGGTGCCTGTGCCGGTGCCAGGTGGGCACAGGGCAGCCTGACCCAGCTCGAGCAGGAAGCCGACAGGAGCCCGAGGCTTTGCGAGGTGACAACAACCTGCTCAGCGTGTGACAACACTGCTCAGCCTCTGCTTGGTGGTACTCACAGGGAAGATGAACTGGACAGAGTTTGGGGGCACGAACAGGCTGGCCCCAAAGGCAGTGAGGTGCTGGGTTAAGCACACGGCCTGGTCTGGCCTGGTCTCCTCCAGGGGGACAATCCCTTCTGTTTTCCAGCGCTTCTCCCGCTCGCTGAAGTACTGGCACAGGGACGTGTAGAGCCCCAGCGTCACCTCCACTGCAGACCAGCTGAAGTGGTTGGTGATGTTCAGGTAGTATCTCTGGATGGGATCATCCGTTCTGGAGAAGGGAAAGAGCAAGGAGATGACCAACCCAGCTTCTGAAGGGACACAAAGCCTGCTCTGATGGATGTGTGCCCATGGAAAGCATCCAGCTGCACAATTAAAAGGAAAAGCCCAGTGAACATGGTATGATTTACACTCTTTGGCAGACCAAATACTCAGGGGTTCACCAGACCACCTGAATCCTTCATTTTGTATTATTTTAGCACCTGGAGCTCTACTGCACATCCTCCCTGCCCAGCTCTCCCACTCGCCCTTCTGTGTGTCCCACTGACTCCCACGACACTTCCAAGAATCTTGGCTGAGAGGAGATTTGATTAGGATGATTTATTCCTCTTGAGCATCCTGTTCCCAAAAGCCATGGAAGCTGTGCCAACTTGCACAACAGTGGCTCCACTCCTGCCCCACCTATTCCCAAGCTGCCCATCTTTTCTCCTCAGATAATGCCTAGGAATGGCTCCTAAATAACCCAAGGCATGAACATGTGTTCCAGGGCAAGGCAGCAGCTGGAGTTGCAGGAATGACTGCTCTGATAAGTAGAAAAGAGCTTTTGGGAGTCCAGAAGGGATGCACTGGGAAGGGGAGCTGTGAGGACAGAGGTGCTCTCTGAAGGTTTCACCGCAGAACAAGAACAAGATTAACAAGGGATGCTTGTTATGAGCTTGTTATGCAGCACGAGCTGCTAACACAACCCTGAACCCACCAAGGTCAGTGTGAGTCCCTTGGGAAGAGTCCTGCTAAGGCTCATGGAGCACAGAGGATGGAAGCCTGGACAAGCTGCAGTCACACTCCAGCAGGTATCAGGTGTCCCTGGGTGACAGGGACCACGAGGGAGGTTTCTCTTACCTAGGTGAGGTGAAGAAGGTGTAGAGCTTGTGGTCACTTCCAGCCAGGGCATCCAGGCCGATTTTCTTGGAGGCAGTGCAGTTGTGCTCGTTGGGCTCGGGCTCGTGATGGAGATAGGCCATGATGAACGGCTCAGGCTCACTGGCAAGGTAGTGATCTGTGTGGGGAGGGGGAGAGACACAGAGGGCTTCAGAAACACCTGGGAGACTCAACCACAGGCCTGCTGCCAGCAGTGGGTGTTCAGGGAGGAGAATCAGGAACGCAGAAAGTCAGGAGAGATGCTTTTCCAGACTGCACCCTCTCAGACTGCAGCTCAGAGGAACCCTGAGCACTGGATACCATCGTACCTGCCTGGGATTGGGACTGGACCAACTCCCTCCAGAGCTAATGAGGCTCAACAGAAGGACTGAGAAAAGCAAAAGGCTTCTCATCCACAAACAAGGATGACTCTGGACACTGGATAATGCCTGAGACAGCCAGAACCTCAGCCACGCAGTGTGGAACCTGCTGGCTACCCCTGGTATCCTCTCACCCCGGCTATCCCTTGACACAGAGGGGTGTCACAGCACCCAGCCCTCCTCTCCCACGGGAAGAACAAAGAGCACGAGGAAACGGATTTGTCTGTGCTACCATTGAGGAGTCTGTAGGTGAGCTGGAAGTGCAGTCCTGCTTCTCTGTTGTTGCTCTCCATGCTCACAATCAGGCTGACAGACGTCCTCGGCTCGATGACTTCAGTGCCGGCAGCGAGGTTGTCGGGATCTGTGCTGTTTGACACCATCACAGTGATGGCTTTCTCCGAGTCCAGGCTCCCGATGGGGATCTGCACCCCGTTGTGTGTCTGGAACTCCATGGAGGCCACCTTTGTGGACACGGTGTAGTTGCTGATGTAACCAAAGGGGAAAGGATTGGAGTCCACCTGGAACATGACTTGAATGACATCCGTCAGGTTGGAAAGGGTGGAGTTGAAGGCCTGGGGGATGGAGAACTGGCAGTTTGGCGTGTTTTCGTAGCAAAGCAAGTTAAAGGGGTCAGACCTCTTGCCTGTGGCCTTAATTTCTCCTCCCACCAGCTCAAGGGGCTCTTCGTTCAGCACTCGGGACTTCATGAGGATGCGCATCAGGCTGGAGGACAGGTTGTAGGCTTTGGGAGCCAGCAGCAAGTTGGGGGAATCAGAAAGCAGCTCCTGGGGCTTGGATTCTTGTGAAACTGTATTGACAAGGTGGATTAGGTCACCTGCCAGGAGAGAAATAAAGGTGCAAACAGAGGAAGTGGTAAATAGCCTGGATAACTCTACAGTCCAGATAACACCTGACACCTTCCCAAAACAATCAGACAAGGCTTCCCTTACTGTCTTCTCACTGTTACTCCACACTCTGCACATGACCTTCCCCACTGGAAGTGTTTGTAGCCCAGGGCTAAAAACAGAGCTGCCAGAAATTCCTGCAGCCTCTCTAATCTACGAAGTTTGGTGAGAAATACTTAATCACAACTGGCCTTATTTTCCTCCTGTGTAGTGACTAGAACCACAGATCAGGAAACAGGGAAGGAGAGGATAAAGCAAACATTTGTTACTAAGTTTTTGCATTATAAAGTGGAGAACACTCAGAAAGCAGTGCAGAGAACGTGTCTCTGCTTCCTCCCAGGTCAACCAGGTGGGAATTTCCACACAGGGTTCACAGATGCCCCAGTGAGGTCTGAAAGCCTCCTCAGACTCCAACCAGAAGGCAAGCATCTGGAAGCCATAGCTGTTACTCATTGTTTACTGAAAAGAGAAATCCCTGGAGGATTAGTGAGTTTATTAGGAGTATTAGGGAGTTTATTAACAACTGTCATATTTAAATGTCCGCAGAGAAGTTGCCAAAGCCAGGACAACCCTGGGAAATATGAGGGGGAAGAGACTACTGGGATGCCACACTCCAAATCACATGTCAGATGCAATTTCCTAACAGCCTGAGAAGGCCAAACCCCAAATGGCAGAGGAGGAGGAGGCCTCCCAAGCTCCCCTCAGCAGGAGCCCTGTGCCCTGGTCACCTGTCCCCAGGCCTGCAGGACAGAGCTCACCTGTGATGTTGAGGATGTTGTCGGCGATGCCGGTGGGTGTCACGGTGCCCTGGGTCGTCTCCCCCTGCAGAATGGTCATCATGGTCTCCAGCTTGTTCAAGGTCCTCGTCAGGCATGACTTGCACACCAGTTCTTTGCTCACCACCTGTGAAGGGAAACAGGGTGTGATGGAGCAGGAGCATCCCCCGGGGAAAGGGGAGGCAGGTGTGGACAAGTCCAGCTGGCTCAGTCCTGCAAAGACCTTTTTATTCTGAAAGTCACTCCTGCTCTTCCCAGCCCTGGGGAGGGGACAGCAGACACCGTGGCTGCACTGCCCACACTGAGAGAGGCCAACAAGTTACTGGTGTCTCCAAGACTCTTCCATCCCCCTCCCAAGACATCCCAATGTGCCAACACACAGGCAGGCATGGCAGAGACTGATAGGGGATGCTTTTGGGTTAGAAAGAGGAATAAAGGGAGTATATGATTGCCCAGAGAAGCTGTGGCTGTCCCATCCCTGGAAGAGTTCAAGGCCAGGATGGACGGGGCTTGGAACAACCTGGGATAGTGGAAGGTGTCCCTGCCTGTGGCAAGGGGTGGGACTGGATAAGCTTTAAGGTCCTTTCCAACAAAAACCATTCCAGAATTCTATGATTCTATATTCCTCTTTCCTGGAGTTCACTTGTAAGGACCATGCACATCTTCTCTTTGGGGCTACACGCTATTCCTACAGAACCCAGTCAGAAAAAGCTGGATAGGATTCCTCCATCCACTCCGCTCCCATCAGTGGAAGCAGGATTTAGCCCGAACTGAATCCCTTTCAGAGTCCAAATACTCCTGAAAGCTGTGGAAGGGACCCTGCCACTCAGGCATGATGGATGTCCCTCCCTCCGCTCCCAGATGTGTCCAAGAAACAGAATGTTCCAGCCGTGGCCTGGAGCTTCCCGCACTCCCGAGGCTGGATGGGAGGGACTGAGGCAACACATGGAAGCTGTTACCACAACCCCCTTCCTCGCTCTTATTCATCTTTTTTTTCTTTTAATCATCATAGGATTGAGACGTGATTCACCATATGTTTTGGTGAAGAATCAAAACAGCATCTGCAGGTCTCGAATTCCCCCTTTTCTGCTTTTATTTGTAAGCTCTGAGAAGCCAGGACAGAGTATGTGAATTGGAGTCCACAAGTCAGGAATCAGGGAGGTGGGGAAGAAACTGGGTTATGGGGAGGAACCACCCAAGGGCAGCTCCTGCTCAGGGAGGAGAATCAACCAAGAAGACTGAGATTCTTTTTTTTCCCTCCAGGATAAATTAATTCTGATTCTTCCCCTCCCCTGTAGGTAAAATCAGAACTGTAATAGCCCTGATGGACCTTTCTACAGGGAAGGAATGTGTGAACTCCACTTGTCTCAACCCCTTGGGAAATTCCAGATTACTGTTTTCCTAAGCTTTTCATTCTGATCCAGAGCACAAACTAATCCTGGAATGTCAGCTTTTCTCGTGGAATAAAAATTCTGTTTCTAGGCCCAGGCTTCCACAGTGAGAGTGAGTCACGAGGCAGGAGGAGGTGGGAGAGACAGAAACAAACCGATCCAGCACGGGCAGGGATGTGCTGAGCCCCAACCCCCGGGCAAAGATGAACAGAGAGAAGGGATTTCTGAGGTCTGCAGGCTCTGAAGCAGAGAAGGGAGCACAGGGCAGGGCTCTGGGGGTGGGATGCAGTAGTCAGTCCATCATTCCGACGCCTGTTCCCGCTGTGCAGGGCCCTGACCTGGCTGGAGGGGAAGCACAGGCGAGGCCAAGGTACCTGACTCCAGTCCCCAGAGCAAGGATCGGGGAAGGCGGGGACGAGGATCATGCCAGAGCAGCCTGGCTGACCACCAAACCCCAAGTGCATTATATAACTGGGCTCTTTTTCCCTCCTCAATCCACCAGGCAGCAGCCCCAGCACTGGGAACTGGCCGGGGAACAAGGCACTTCCAGTCAGCAGCAGAGCAGAGCAGAGCAGAGCAGAGGAGGGTTTTTCATCCTGTAGGCTAGAAATAGGGCTGGGAGGAACACCAGGCCTTGGTGCTGGCCCCTGGCCCAAGGGAGGCCCAGCTCTACTCGTGCCACTCCTGATGGGAGCCCAGTCTGTCCTCGGAGATTCTGCAACTCCCCCAGCAAGTTATGCCAGTGTTTCTGGAGCCCCCCCATGTTGGGGAGGGAGCCAGGGGAAGCACAACAAGGATTGGAGAGCACCTGAGCTGCAGCTGGACGGCCAGAGGTGGGAGGTGGTGGTGGGAACGTACCGTGCACTGCGCCAGGGCCGCCGAGATCTGCTGGATGTCATCAACAGTGTTCACCTTCAGGGAGTTCAGCGTCTCTGTGATGTTGTTGCGAGTCCAGGTCCGGAGCTCAAATTCATTCCCTGCCTCAGGTTCCAGAAGCATGGATCGCTCGTACTGGGGGGAGAAAAGCACACAGAGAGAGGAGATCTATGAGGTTGTTCCAGAGGATGATGAGCTGCGCTGAAGTCACCCCTTCCATGCCCTCTGTACCTCTCCGACTCTGCTTCTCCCCAGAGGGGTCTAACGAGCTGGTTTCCCAGCAGAACTTTCTCAATTTTGCTTGTGCCTTCCAAGCAATTATCTGAACAGCCTTGCACTTGACAGTGGTGCCCAGTGTAGTCCTTACCCAGCTAAGCAGAGTCCTGTGCTCAGGGGGATCATCCCTGCCTGGCTTCCATGAGTGCAGCAGGCTCTTACCAGGCAGGAAAACAAAAGTATAGCCTGAAATTGCTGCCCTGCCTAGAGAGATGCACACGGAAGGAGTGGGCCCCACTTCAGGTAGGAGTGAAAGGGAATTCTGCCAGGAGGGTGATGCTGTAGAATTAATAAATTCCCTACATTGTTGTACAAAATGGCCCAAGAACTTTCCTGGTGACTACAAGGACTTCTGGAGGCCCCTCTTGGGCACAAAGAGCTTCCTTACCTCATTTAAGATGGTGATGAGGGCCAGGGAGTACTCAATGACCTGCTGAGGGTCCCCTTGTTTCACCAATCCCTGGAGCACAGTGTCAGTTTGGTTGTAGAGCCAGTGGGAAAGGCTGGGAAAGCCCTCGGGTAAGCCAATTTCCATGGAGCTGCAAGGGAAAGAGGGATCTGGGTTACGTGCAGACCGTCACCGGGGCTGGGAAGGGGGAGGAACAGGGAAGCAGGTGGGTGAGCCACAAAGACAGCCCTGCTGAAACCCTGGTACCCACGCTGCAGGAGCTATAAGGAAAACCACCATGGACCTGAGGCCTGGCTCCTCACCAGCCCAGCTCTGGGACCTGATGACCTTAGAGGTCTTTTCGAGCCTTAACGTTTCCAGGATTCCAAGATCCTATGAAAGCAGTAACTTCTGGGAAAATCTCCCCCTCGAGCGATGACCCACAAAGACTGGAATTCTCTGTACTGCCCTTCTGCTGAGCCTCCCCTCCCCTTCCTGCCAACAGCCTCTGCCAGGAGGCAGAACCTTTCACCCAGGACCCACCGAGCCCTTCAGGACAGGGACCCGGCGGCCCAGCCACGAGCCCGGGGTGTGATCCCTTACCTGTTCACGGCCACCACGGTGGCTCCCAGCTGGTCCTGCACCAGGACGGACACGGACACCTGGAAGCCGCTCTCGTGGAAGCCGGGGGGCAGGAAGGCGCCGTGCTCGGCTCGGCTGCCCTTGTAGAGGCAGAACTCGTGGAAGTGGCCGCGGCGGCGGCGCGAGGCCAGCAGGATGTACACCAGCGGGCCCTCCGCGTCCTCCGTGTCCCGCCAGCCTGCAAGGCAAACCCCCACGGGGGGCTGAGGGGGGCCAGGGCACGGGGGGGGCTGCACACACCTTCCCAAAGCCCGGTCCACCCGGCTGGGCCGTGCCCCTTCCCTCCCCCGGGGTGTCCCACCCCGCTCAGCCCTTCAGCATGGATGGGGTTTGGAGCAACCTGGGCTGGTGGAAGGTGTCCCTGCCCATGGCAGGGGGTGGCACTGGATGAGCTTTAAGGTCTCTTCCAACCCAAATCATTGCAGGCTTCTCTGATGATTCTATAGATCTGCCCTTGCTGCTGTCCCCAGCAAGGGTCACCCTGCTCTGGTGAGAGGGACAGTGTTTGGGTCCTGTTTAAAGGGGTTATGCAAAATCCATGATCAAAGTAAAAATAGGAATAACTCTCCTGGGACTGGGAACAGCACTGACCAAGGCCACGGCCTCTGTACAAGCCTCGTAAAGCCTGACAGAGGCTCAGCCCTCAGGCAGTTCAGCATCTCAGGAACAACTGAGCCAAGGATAAAACCTGCACAAAGGTTTCCTTGGAGATTCCAGGAATTTTGGGGAGTTTCCAGGGGCTGGGAAATGCCCTGTATGTTTGCCAGTGAGCCCCAGTGAAGGTGCTGGCTCTGCCAGGGCTCACTGAGCTGGACATCCACCAGTAGGTCTGTGTCCTGGTCTGTCACTTCAGCTTAAAAACAACCTAAGAGCTAAAATTCCCACCATTCCAAAGAGGGACGGGTTTCAGGATTATTCTGGATGGCTCAAAACATCCCGAAGTTACAGCCACACCACGCTGAACACGCTCTGCTGCTCCCCCAGCTCTGGTGACCCATCCCCTGGAAGCAGCAGCATCCATCCCCTCTCCGCGTGGCTTCCCGGCACTGTGCACAAACAGCTCTAATCTCTAACACTAATCATTTGGGGAAATCTGGTTTCCAGAGGCACTTAGTCCTTGGCCCAAGGCTACGGGACATCAGCCAGGCCACTTTCCCAAAGCTGGGCTCGTTGTTGCTGTCTCTGCAGCTGGTTGGGAAGGTAACTGCCGGCGGGAACATCCAGCCCACATGGCAGAGCTGGCCCCAGTGCTCTGTCCTTTGATTCTTCCCACATACATGTGACTCAGTTTTGGGCACCATCTTGTTTTTCCTGCACTGAAGCACCAGTTTCTTCCCCAAGAGGCAGTCTGGCCTGGGTGTCACCATTCAACTACAGGAATTAGGATTTATAAAACTGCCTGCCTGCTACCGTGAGTGTTAGAGCTCCGTAATTTGGGCACACAAAGCTGCTCACGGGCCAAGCTGCTTGGGAGCTCATCCCTGGCCAACAATGTCCTGGGGTAGGAGTCTGGGGTAAAGGAAACATCTGTGGGAAGAGCACCTGGCAACACTGGCCATGGGAAGGCTTCGCCCGTGAGGAGCAGGGAGGGCTGGCCGGTGCCCGCCCAGCGCTCTCACCTGCACACTCAAAGTGCACCTTCGTCATGAGCGCCCTGAGGGGTCCTTCGGGGGACAGGGAGCACCTTCCCCCCACGGGGGGCTGATTGGGGAGCAGGTCGATGGAGGCAAAGCCCTCCTCCCCCGTGGTGAGGTCTGTGATGTGCAGGGTGAAGGTGTAGCCCTCGCCATCCTTCAGCGCCCCTGGCCTCAGCACCAGGTTCATCCCCGTGTCCCCAGTGGAGGTCGTTGTTTTGTCCAGGACGAGAGACTTGTTCTTAAAGCTGTGTGCTGCCCACCTCTGCAGGGATGGAGAGACAGGAGAAGTTTTGTTTAAATCTGCAGTTATGTCCTCAAAATGTTTTCAGATTGAGTCTCTTATAAAAAGTAACAGATTTCTAGTGGGAGCGTCTGCCAAATTTGCAGTTGATAATTCAGCTTTAGTCTTGTGTGCTACAGCAACAAGAACTGGAACCTTTCCAAAATGTCTGGTGGGAATATTTCCACTGTGAGATCTACTTTAGTTTCTGGGATTACATCACCCTCCGACAGAATATTTCATAATACAGAGTACAAAACACAGGAAATAAATGAAGGACTGGTGGAGTCTCCACGGGATACCATGCTTTTTTATAAGCTTCAAGCTGAACATGGCCTGGGTGGTTACTGTTAATAGCACAAACATACAATTGTGATAACAAGAGAAACAGTGAGATAACCAGGCAGAAAATGCCAGGCAAGGACATGCTGGGCTTGCTGGGAGCAACAGGACTTCCCGTTCTGAGACCTGCTCCACTCCACAGGCTGCAGGGATGCTGTGCAGTGGAATCAGGAACCAGAGGAGGGCAGGAGGTACTCGGGGCATCAGGAGAGACTAAACCAACTCTGCTTGAGCCACCAGAATAACAGGCAAAATGCCAGCCAGCATGGAGGAAAAACCCTTTACCAAAGGTGAAGCAAAGGGCAGTGACTTTACCCCAAGCTTGGAGTCGTTGTGACAGTTCTGGCAGGTCCCCTCCAGGTAGACGTAGGAGCTCTTGCTGACTTCGTAGACAGACTGAGCCTTGCAGGAAACACACTCCAGGGACACGATAGGGACTCCTCCCCTCTTGATGAACACCTGGGAAAGCAAGAGGCTCCATCAGAAGATGTGACACCAAAATCCAGACATCTAAAATGTAAGGACACATCCACGCACCTGAATCTGAAAGGGGGAATGGCTCTGCACCAGCCCAGCCTATGCTAAGGAAACAGCAGGAAGGGATTCCCAAAGGATTTTCCAGTCAGATTTAAGCTACATCAGTGCTCTTACACTGCCCAGTTCTGTCACTGGTTTTCAAGAGCCACTCGATGCCAAACTGGGCCAATTCAGGTCATTCTGGATTTACTTTATCTATACTTTAACAACATAAATTGCTTTCTAAAGGTCCCTGTGGTCCCCTGTGCTGAATTCCCTGCAAACCCTGCTTTGGCTGTAGGTTAGGGATGGAAGAACCACCTTTTCCAGAGAGCAGCACGTTGTTCCAGGCTTTTAGCTGGAATCTAACTGCACTTCTCAAGATATCTACCACACCTTCCTGGCAGAGCACCCAGAGAGAGCAGAGGCACCGGTGGCTCAGACACAACAGCTATTGAGCTCTGACCCCTGTACTTTGTCTAAATTCCTTTAATCCCCCAGGAAACAGGCCTGTCCAGCCTTGGACAGAGCCCTCTGTCCTGGCATAACGAGCATTATGAATTCAAAGACAGTAATGAAGACATTGTTTAACATGGCAGACTCTTAAAAGAGGATAAATACTCCCCAGCATTAAGCCTGAGAGCATTGAAGCTCCATTCATTCCTCCAGTATTTGCAAATTTCCTGCGACACTGGGATCATTGTTTTGCGCTCGCGCATGGAAACCAGATAGTACGGAATGTCCTTGAAAGACTATCAATTTCATTTTTTTTTCTTTTCATCCTCCAGCTCTGGTTTCAAACCCCCGGCAGTAAGAGTTTCCACTTCCAGAGTAACTACACCTCTAATTGCCAAGTGCACCAGATGAATGTTCCTGACACGAACCGTCGGGCTGCGGGTGCGCTTGGCCTTGGGCTTGATGTGACATAAACAACATGCACTTAAGAAAATCCTCCTTTCGCAAAATTTGGAAGGAGAGAAGAGAGGAACTGTTGACAGTAGAACTAAGCACCAGCTCTTAGGAAGCTCTCTCTGGGCAAAAACCAGGGAAGACCCTGGTGCTGTGGCATGTGAAGAGCCAGGACTGCACAAATACCGGGAGAGTCACCAACCAAGGCTGGACTCCTTCGCTGGTCCATGGTGGGACTCGATGATCTTAGAGATCTTTTCCATTACATGATTCTGTACAGAAACTAAAAGGACTTGGCAGGACAAGCAAGAAGTGCTGCCCAAGAAAGATGACTGTAAGATGATTCTATCACAGAAATACCAGTGTCTGCTCCTACCAATGACCTGGACGAGACCAGTTACAGAGCCCCAGTGATGCCCTAAAATCTGGGGACTAATTCTTCCCTGGGAGGGTGGTGAGGCTGCCCAGAGAAGCTGTGGCTGCCCCATCCCTGGAAGTGTCCAAGGCCAGGTTAGGCAAGACTTGGAGCAACCTGGGCTAGTGGAAGGTGTCCCTGCCCATGGCAGGAGGTGGAAAGTCCTTCCAACCCAACCATTCTACAGTTCTGTGACTCCCAGTTTGGCTGTGTCCAGCCACAGGCACCCAGGGAGAGAAGAGACAGCTGTCCGTGGTACGTACGGTTTGGTTGGTGGCCTCAGGACTCATCCCCCCCTTCCTGATGGTGAGGTCGAACGTGTACTCCACATCTGCTTCTAATTCAGCTTTGGGAATTGTGACAATTCCTTCACTGGCACTGAAATTCAGAGAGCACCCTGCAGCCGAGCTCTGCTTGCAAGGAGAAAAGAACTTTCAAACCCTCCTTGGTACGGGTGCAAGTCGGGTTAGTCCACAGCCAAAACATTCAGGTCCACACAGAGCCACTGCCACAGACCTTGCTGTGCAGTGCCACCACTGGGGTGGGAGAAACAGGGTGTGTGTGGACAATAAAACACATCATCCTACTCTTCAGGTTAGTAAACAGTACTTGGAATACTCCTGTGTTTCATCTGAGCTTCAGATTCATATTTTATAGCAATTAATTCTTCATTAAATAGCTTATAAACATTGCCAAGAAACACAAAAAGCTCCCATTAAACCAAAAGGTCTAATCCACAGACACTCCACATCTTTCTATTTTGAGGCAAATACAGAAAACACGACATTTTTACAAGCAAAAGAATCCCACATTAAGTCACAAAGTGCTCCTGAGGTGGACCTCCCATCAGGATCTGCAGGGCAGTTCTCCCTTGCCCCTCCATCAGTGCAGGGTCAGACCACTGCAGCATGTGAGGACAGTGACCTGCTTGTGACCGCAGCTTGCAGTCACTTGACCTCTCCAAAGTCTAACTCTGTCCCCTGATGGCATCAGAGACATTTAACTGTTAATGGGAGAGGGACCAGAGCCCTCATCCCCCAGAACTGCAGTCAGCAGCTATTTCAAGCCAGACACGTTTGCAGTGGAGCTGACGTGCAGCTGGAGCTCCCTGGCTGTGCAAGACTGCTCTTACCTTGGAGGAGTATGTACAGGACCACTCGTACCACAGCGGGGTCTGTTCACCATCATCCAGGTTCGGGTCATAGGACTTCTCCCCGTCCAAGATTAAGTCCTGAGTGTTGGACCATACACGGTACGACCCCCCATCGATGATTGGGACCAGCTTGCTCGGGATCACAGTCACATTGGCAAAGATGCTTTTGGACAGCGGGGTGTCTCCAAAGGAGACAATAAACATGAAGCAATAGTTCCCAACTTCCAGGGCGAGCTTGGGGATAACCAGCTGGGGCCTGTTCACGTCAACGTTCGGCAGCCGGATCCTGCTGGAGTCGTCCAGGTCCATGCAGCTGGGTGCTCGGTAGATCTCCCACAGGTGCTCTGTCTGGTACTTGATGCACCCCCGGAGGTCAATCTGTGCCTCCAGGTAGTTCCTCTGGGATCGCTTCATGACTACCTGGGGGGGCAAGGCCAGCTCCACCTCCGGCTCCTCGCACTCCAGGACTCTGACGGTGACGGTGAGCTGGGCTATGAAGAAGCTGATGAGATTGGTGGCATTCACCTCCACCAGGTAATCCCCGGGGCTCAGGTAGGAATAGTTGGCCACTGCAACCCTGGTTGTTTGAGCGGAAGAACCATCCCCAAAGCTCCACAAGAACTCAACGCTCCTGCTGCTGGGCACCACCGTGGCTTCAAACAGTGCCGTCCTGTTGACAAAGGCGTTGGAGGCAGAGAGGGAGACCTGGACTATCGGGTCTTGGACCTGGATTGTTCTGGTGATATTGACACTTCCCAAGTCATTGAAGGCACTGAGGTGAATCTCAAGCAGCCCTGCAGCTTCTGGAGTGTAGGAAACACTCTCTCCTGACACAGTGACCACGGACCGACTTTGCTCTTTCCAGAGGGAGAAGCGCCAGGAGAAGGACACACGGGAGCCGCTCCCCACACGGGCGCTGAAGCTCTTCTCCGTGCCCGTGGGGATGCCCTCCTCGCAGCAGTTCAGGAGCCTGACATCCCGGATGGCCTCCAGGACAGAGATAAGCACCTGGGCGTGGGCGATGCTGATCTGGTTCTGCACGGTCACAGTCACCAAATAATCGCCGCTCTTGGTGAACTCGTGGGTGTACCGGGACCCGTTGAGCACCACGGAGTAGTCCCCACTTATGCTCACCAGGTAACTCACAGAGGTGCCTGACAACATCCTGATCACAAAGGTGACCTGTTCCCCTGGCTCCACCACCTTCTTGCTGGCGAGAAATTCCAGACCTTGGATCCTGTCCAGCACTGAGATATTCCTGCTGGCCAGAGCCCAGCTGATGTCGTTGGACGCGTTCAGATGGACTGTGTAGAGCCCTGCTGTGGGGAACGTGACTGCCACAGACTGGCCAGTCAAGGTGCCATTGGGAACCTCCCAAAGCCAGGTCACTTCAGTTCCTTTCTGCAGCTCCCCCTCAAAGACCACGGTGGAGCCTGATGAGACGTACCTGCAGTCCAGCTCTGCTGTCCCTATACTCAGCCCCTCTATAACCTCCTCTATATAGACAGAAATTGTTGAATTGGTTGAATTCAGCTTGTTTTCTGCTCCGACGACGACCTCCATCACCCCAGGGCTTTGGAAGGAGTGTATAATGAAGGGTTCAGAAGTAACAGGAGAGGAGCCATCCTCGAGGTACCACACGTACGTGATGCCAGTGCCACTGGTTATGGTGGCACTTATGTTAACAGAGGCATTAATAGCAGCTGGGTTGGGGAAGGCGTAGGGCTTTAGGAGACCGAGGCTTTCAACAAACTCCAGTGTCCTGTTAACGGTGGCACATCCCAGCATATTGGTGGCCTTCAGATAGACAGTGTAGTTCCCAGCTTCGGGGACGCTGAAGGAGAAGGTTTTCCCAGTGGAGGTTTGCACAGCACTGCCATCCCGGTGCACCACCCAGCTGTAGGAGATGTTCGTTCCCTCTCTCACCACGGCCTGCAGATGGAGCGTTTTGTTTGTTGGGAAATACATGTCCTCCACCAGGTCACCGCTGGCCACCTGCAGGCCCTCAATCTGCTCCAGGACGTAGACGTAGATGCTGTCCTGCAACGAGCTGATCTTGTTCTCCGCTGTCACAATGACGTTGAACGTGCCCACGGACCGGAAAGTGTAGGAAATCGTGGAGGAGCCTTGGATAGGGGTGCACCGGTCGCAGAGGATCCACGAGTAGCGGATGGCAGTGCCAGCCACAAGGGTGGCTACGAAACTCACCGACCCGTTCAGCGGCACCACTGTCCTGCCGGCATTGATGGTCAGGCCAAAGAGCCGGCGTTTCACGGTGACGTCGATGGTGGTCTCGTTAGAGCTCACGTCGTTCTGGCCCATCACAGTAATGCTGTAGTGGCCCGTGCTGTTGTAGGAGTGGGTGGCGACTTGCCCAGGCTGGGTAGTGCCATCTCCAAAGTCCCAGCAGTAACTCACTTTGGTTCCATTCATGCTGGCAGAGAACAGGTAGATCTGGTTCAGCTCCAAAACATTTGTCCCGTTATATTCAATCTTCGCTACCCCAACTGGTTCCTGGACTTCCACAAACGCTGTGTCATTGTTGAAAGAGACGTTGTTGGAGACGGTCACTGTGACCAGGAAGACCCCTGTGTTCTTGTAGGTGTAGGTCACCTCAGTCCCACTCGACCTGGCGGACTCGTTGTTGCCGAAATCCCAGCGGTAACGATACTGGTAGGGGGGCACGGCACTGACCTGGAAGGTGCTCTCTTCCCCAAGCCTCACGAACTGCTTGGAAGGGAGGAGGGTGACGTTGACTATCTCCGGCTCCACACACACGCTGGTGAAATAGTGAGCCTTGTTAAACCTGCTGGAGAGAGTCAGGGACAGCAGGAAAGTCCCGCTCCGGGTGAAGTTGTGCGTCACCCCAGGGTCCCCACTGACTGTGACGTTGGATGAGCCATCTCCGAAAGTCCAGTCGAAGATGTACTCCTCGGGATTCCCTGTCACGTAGGCGGTGAGCTGCACGTCCGGGTGCTCCGGGATGCACGAAGTTGGCTCTATCTTGAGCACCTCCAGGACAAATATCCGAACAGGGACGGTCTGGGAGACGGAGTTCACAGGATTCACAGCCGTCACGTTCACGGTGCAGTTGATGTCCTTTATGTACACGTGTTCTACCACCGGCTCCTGAGTCCTCAGCACCGTGCCATCCCCCAGGTCGAACACCCAGGTGATGCTGTCCCCGGTCTGCACGGAGGCGTTGATGGTGACAGGCGCTCCCAGCTCTGCCGCCTCGCCCGCGGAAACTCGGAGCCCAGAGATCTCTTCGAACACCTGGTAGCACTCCACCGTCTCCACGCTGCTCACGGTGTTGTTGGCTGTCACGGTGACGTTGTACACCCCTCTCTGGGCGTAGCTGTAGGTCACTGTAGGCTGGATCTCTGTGAGCAGGGGGGACCCGTCCCCGAAGTCCCAGGTGTACACGACGCCATAGGGGGACGGCAGTGCACGGGCTCGGAAGGTCACCGGGCGCCTCACGACTAAAACTTCCTCCTCTGCTTCCACCTTCACATCCACCAGGTAACTGTGGATGTGAACTGGGGTCAAGTGCGTGAGGTTTTCGAACTGGTTGGACACGACAACCATCAGGGCATATTCTCCTGCATGGGAAGAGAGCGGAGCAAGACCAGGGTGAGGACGTGCCTGCCTGCCCCTGTGCTGGGCACACCCCAGCCTTTCCCTGCTCTGGCCCAGGACCAGCAGGAATTACAGCAGGCCATGTGTGTGAGGACCAAACACCAAGTAAGGAGCCAGTCCAACAGAGAAGAGATTTTCTTTCTCTTTGCCCACAGAACAGACCCTTCCTGTCGCCCACCCCTCCCACCAGCACAGTGCTCACCCTGCCCCTCGTCCGACCACTGAGACCGCCCAAAAATGGACTGTGTGTGGTGGACTTGCTTCTTACAGCGTGGCCAAACCTCTCCAAGAAACAGAGTTATCGAGGATGGCAACTGCAGACTTCCAGTCACTCTGGCTGTTCGCTCAGGAACAAGGTAATGACTTCCATGCCTTGGTTTTATTGGATGGTGTCTCATAGCCCTCTCATAACAAAAATACCTGAGCCCCTTCTTCCCCAAAGAACCTTTCTGACCATACCTGGGTCTTGGTAGATGTGTGAAACATTGTGCTCAATGACAACCTCATGGACATTGGGATCAGGAACAAGGAAAGACTTGTTATAGGGAGGTTTGAACAGGTATGTCTCCTGGACACCATCTCCAAAATCCCACCTGGAGAAACAGGTAAACAGTGTTACACTGCACAACAGGAGAATCATGGCAATCCCTGAGGAATCCTGGCCTGTCTTTCAGGTCAGGACTGGGTTTTCCAATGGAAACATAGGAAGCAGCACGACAAATATCAAAGCAGTAGTTGTGCCTGATGCTGAGAGGAGCACAGGAGGAGGAACCCAATATTAGACCAGTGTTGCAATACTTTAAAAGAGTGAACTGAACTACAGGTCCCAGCCAGTCTGACTGACCCACACTCACAGGGATTTCAAATTAACTGGGCAGCATCTGAGAGATGGACCAGTTGGCCCTGGGAAGAGAAGCAGTGCAGGCGAGGTAAGGTACGCACAGAAAGATCCCAAGTAGCAAAGGACTCACAGGAACAGAGCCTCCACAGCCGAATCAACGTGGACCCTCGCCGTGAGCTCCACCGTGCTGTTCTGGGGCAGGACGGGCAGGACACCCAGCACCGTCAGGTTCTTCATCTTATTCATCATCTCCACCGTGACATTGTAATTGACCGTGAAGTTACTGACGTGGTTGGAGGCGGTGAGCTGGGAAGGACAGCGGGACAGAGGCTGTGTTGGGGATCACCTCATTGTGCTGCCCTCCCTGAGCGTGGGGCTTCACTGGACTGAAGATGTGCCACCAGGCAGGCGAGCTGGCCAGTGCAGAGAAGAGTGGCCCCGGGGGCAGGGAGGCAGGGCAGGAGCCTGGATGGCACTGGAAAGCAGCCTAGGCTGGCAGGTCACCCACCTGGCAAAGCCACCTCCTGCTGGAACCACCAGTACAGTCAGTCCAAGGAAGGACTGGTGCTACAGCAAGAGGGAAGGAGAGGAGCTTCTCATCCAGAGGCTCCTCTGGCTCTGAACTTGCCGGTTCCCCACATGCCCTGCACACTGTCTCCAGCTGCTGAGCACAGGCCACCAAGGGGACAACAGACACCTTGGGACAGTGGCAGATGAGTAGCTTCAAGCACAGAGAGCAGGGATGGGAGAGGCTCATAAAACCAAGCACATGAAGTGCACCTCCAGGATCCTGGGGTGGTGGGCACAGAGAGAGAGAGCAAGGCTGGGCCAAGGAGGGAAATGGAGGCAAGAGATGGAAGAGGCACAACAGAAATAGAGCAGGATCCTCAAGATTATTTAGGCAGGAAACACTGACAGGGCACCTGGTGACAGAGCATCTTGCCACCTCCTCACCTGCAGGAGCTGCTGACAGAGGGATCCTTCAAACAACGTTGAGTAGAGACGTCCCACCCCAACATGAAAGAGAAGTTCGTGTCTAGGCTCCTGTAACCGCTACACTGAACCCAGTGCCCCCAGGATAATGGCACCTTGTCAGCTCTGTAAGTGAAAGCGCCCCAGGCTTGTCAGCACCGTGCTCCACCCAGCAAATTAGTGCTGCACCAAGCAAATTAGAGCTAGCATGGCCTTGGAGCTGGGGCTGGCATCTTGGAGCTGGGGCTGGCATCTCCTCAGGGAGCCAAGTCACCCTGCAAGAGGATCAAGCACCTTGGACCAGAGCAGACTCCACCTGGCAGTACAGGGCATGACACAGAGAGATGTTCTGGCCAAACTCCTGTTCCACAACACACACCTCCCCTGGCACAGACTCTCTGCTCCATCCTTCTGGGGCCAGGACAAAAACCCAGTTCCAGTCTGCATCAGGAGAAAGAGAACAGGACCGAGAACAGAAGAGCTTGTGGGAGAAGGTCTGTCCTGCCTACAGTTTGCATCCTGCCTCTGCCTGGTTCTGAATCCGTATCTCCTGTCTCCCAGAGCAGGGGCTCCCTGCCTCATTCCTGCTGGGGAGGAGGAAGCACAGACACTCCATAAGCAGAAAGGAGAACAAGGGGAAAAGAGGAGAAAGCAAAGATGAGGAATAAAGTGAAGTAACGGCAGAACAGAAGAAACTTATTTGCATTGCAAGAGCAGCTCAGTCAGAAATAGCAGATGAGCTCATTGGGAGCACAGCAAAAACCTCAGCTCAATTCTGCTTTCTCCTCTCCCTGCTGCTCTTCCCGCTGAGTTTGTGGGATGAGATGGAAACCCAGGGATGAAATGGTATCATGGGAAAGGCCTTGGCTTACCGAAAGCTTGTACACGGCTGGGCTTTGGTAGATAACGTTGAAGACAACATTGTAAAAAGTGAAAGATGGCTTATCATCTACTGTCCATCGGAAAGTCACATCTGACCCAGCCTCCATCACAGGGATGTAGCTCTGAAAGGCATGAGAACATTTCACACTAGTGCAAGAGAAAAGCATGCCCAGCACTTCCCAGGAGATCTCCAGCTGAACTGGAGAGGGAGCAGAGCCAGACTGGGAGGCACCTCACACCCTCAGAGCATGGCACAGAGGTGACACATCGTCTGTGGCTCTGCTGCTGATGGAGAAATGCAGACCCTGACCAGCAGAGCAGGGAGCAGACCCCACACTCCCTGCTCCCACAGCCCAGCACCCTGCTCTTGTGATCAGGTCTAAAAAACCTCCTTCTATGTTCACAGAAACAACTCGGCTTTAGCTACACCTGTAAGCTCAGCCTCTGACCCTCGCCCATGGATGGTGCCTGACCCCCTGACCTGCCCTGTCCTCACTCCAATAGTGCCTCCTGAGCAGACTGTGGCAGCCAGGAAGGGCGAGACCAAGAGGTGCAGGCGCAGGATCTGCCGGAAGCAGCCAGAGCTTGAACAGAGCGTTTGGGGCAGCTGCTGAACAGGTTCCCAGGGCTGCAGCTCTGGGGACAGGGGGCTGGAAAACAAAAGGACTGGAAATGCCAGAGGAACCCCAAGACTTGGACAGACGAAGCTGTTTTACAGCTTCAGCCAGCTGATGTGAGGATTTAGTAGAGCAAATCTGAACACCTCGGCAAGTCAAAAGAAGGTCAGTACTGGCCTTTCATAATGCCTCTGGTTTCCTGTGGAAGTTGAAAGCCAGAATCCCCCTCGCAGGAGCTACTGCCTTACCTCTGAGGGGATTCAAGGGAACGTACAGCCAAGCTGCCTTCCTGCTGGAGAGCACCAGTGCTTGTGCCACATGCCTGTGTCTGCAGCAGCGCGGGCAGCACGGCCTGGGAGCTGAGCAGCAAGCAGTGCTCCCCCAGCCCAGCCTCCCCAGAGCCAAACACACACCCTACAGGCTAAAGGGGAAGGCTGAAAACCCAGCTGATGAACTAAGGGCAGCGGCCAGCACTCACCACCCGTGTGTTCAGCAGGACCCTGCTCTCGGGGTCCGGGGTGGCCCTCAGCCCGCGGATCGGCTCCTCCACCTTCACCGTGACCGTGATGTTCTGGGAGCTCACGGCGTTCTCCGCCACCAGCACGTGGGTGCTGAGCCCCTCCCTGAGGCCGCTCAGCTGCACCACAGCAAACCAGGTGTCGTTGTTCTCCCTGGCACACTGCGCCGTGAGCGCGGCCACGGCCGCCGGGCAGGCCCCCGTGAAGGGCACGGTGCGGTTGTCCCCCAGCCAGGTGGCTGTGGCGTTCGCCCCCGAGGACAGTTTGAGCACCAGGGTGGTGTGGTTGGTGGGCAGGTAGACCCTGCTGCCCTGGGGAGCGGGGTGGATGACACGCAGGCCCGACACCCGTGAGGCCACCCAGAAGCTGCAGGACAGGTTGGCGCCGAAGGCCCCGTTGTCCACGCTGGCTCTGACCGAGTAGAGGCCGGGATGGTCCAGCCCCGCGTTGTGGGGGCTGAGCAGCGGCACCAGCTGCTCCTCGGCATAGCGGACACGCAGGGAGCACACGGAGCTGTTCACCCAGGGGGGATCCACGGAGCCTTCGGGCAGGCCCAGCGCCCACGCGGAGGAGTTCCCACGGAGGATGCTGGCTCTGGACGGGGACGTGGCACTGGGCTGGCACTGCAGGAAGGAGCCCGAGACTGCATTGTGCTGGATGCTGAAGACATCCCCAGCCCTGACAAAGATATTTTCTTCTCTGAATGAGACCTGCGAAGAGTGGAGACATTTTTGGATTAAGAGCACTCAGCACCCAGCTCCTGCCTGGGCATGATGCTGGATGTCCTGCCAAGTGGAAACCAACAGAAAAGCTGCAGATCTAAACACAGCACAAGGAGACCTTTGTGCTCCACCTCCACTGGGTTAATGCCATGGGAATGGCCCAGGGAATCTGCACGGCCTTTTCATAGAATCGTGGAACCACAGAATGGGTTGGGTTGGGAAGGACCTGAAAGATGATCTCATTCCACTCCCTGCCACGGGCAGGGACACCTTCCACCAGCCCAGGTTGCTCCAAGCCCCATCCAACCTGGCCTTGGACACTTTCAGGGATGGGGCAGCCACAGCTTCTCTGGGCAACCTGTGCCAGGGCCTGCCCACCCTCTTTGGACCCCTCTGACCAACTATGCTTGGCAACAGGTTACTGCAGGGAGCCCATGGCTTGGAGCTGTGTGGTGGCACGTGTGACACTGGGCACATCCTTTCATTCCAGTGGACTTCAGTGTCTCCATCTGCCACAACCCAAATTTACCCAAAGCCCTCAGGAGAAAACTGCCCCACCTACCCTCTGGTTACAACAGCTGGTAAACACTGACCTGATACTGGGAAGGGGGGCCAGCTGGTACTGTAAAGAGAAATTCCTGGGTGAGTTGATAGCTGAGCTGGCTGTGGTTGGGCTGCAGGGACCCGGGGGCAGGGCTGCTGGCAGAGGAACCATTGCTGGCACACTCGGTGGCGTTGCAGCAGTTGTTGTGGGACGAGCACAGATCAGTCAAATGACACCACTGGAAACCAGGAGGACATTCCAGCAGCGTCCAGTTCCCGTCATCCTGAGCTGGGTGGAACGGTTCTGTAGCATTGTTTCCCTCCTGGTGGTCTGGAAGAAGTGAAAAAGAAAGCAGAGATCACCATTCTCAAAAGGAACACTCCTGGTGCACTTCATTCCTCCAAATCCACCATTTTTTCCACTCTGATGATGGCTCCACTCTTAGTAAAAGCTGAAACTGCAGCATGTGCTGGTGCTACTGAAGTGCCTCGTTTTACTGGAAAAATTCACAAAGATCATTAAAACCAAAGTTGTTTCTTTTCCAGCGAGAACACACTAATTTGCACTCTAAAAGAGATCTGTGCTCGAGCAAAAGCAAGTCCAAGAGAAAGCAGAGCTGGCTTTGACTTTGAAAACACATTAAGCAACTTTTCTGAAGTTAATGTTTCCATGTCAAAGTATCAGCTTGTCAGTGTCAAAAAAGATCCTTTTGTAACCAGCCAACCCCACAGCTACAACAAACATTCTGCTGCAGAATTAATTGTTGCCAATACTGTGACTGTTGAGCTGTTGTACAAGGAATAAAAGGCTTTTCAGATTATCTCATCCATCAGGAAGAAATGGGTTCAGGGAAATGTTCTTCCTTGTTAACCCATGGGGCCAGATGGACCAGAACACATTCCCATTTGACATGTGTCTTCCCAAAGTAAAAAAGTACAGCTCAGAAGATTAATTGACTTCTACACACGCTCCTTTCACCCACATTCTCCTCATGCATGGAGGGAGGCTTCTCCCTCTATTATTTTTTCCAGTGTAACCACTTCTTCAAGGCAGTCTCAGGCTGTCCAACCCCTCCCTGCAGATTCTGCATTTTGACCTCCTCAAAAAACAAAACCAGATCTCTGAGCCTTTAAGGTCAAAGCTTTGAAGCCACAGGGGCCACAAGTGTTGGGGAGATGCCTCACCTTCACCATCCATCGGTCTGTGCACCTGGAACCTCACTTGGACAGGCTGAGGCAGATCCTGCGTCACGAACTCCAGGGCAGTCAGATACCCCTCGTGCCTGAATGCCAGCTCAGGGAACTCCATCACCTGCAAAGCACACACAGCTCTCACCTGCCTGTGTCTCCCTGGGCTCCCTGGGCATGGGCAGGGTGAGCAAACCCCTCTCACCTCCTCAGCCTGCCATGGATCTGACAGCACAGCTCCAGTCACGTTCCTCACGGCCTCGGCTGAGTCAAACACGGCGTCGCCCTCAAAGAAGTTTTCGGCATTTAGGAGAACTCCTGTTTACAAAGGAAATATTTGAACAAAGCCCATGAGACCCAGCAAGGCCTGAGGTATTCCCTCCACCCTGCAAAGCTGCAGCAGGGCTTGGGCCTGACCATTTGTCACTCCAGCTGTGCTGGAGAAGCAGCTCCATAACTCTGTACCTCCTTTCTTCTTCTCACACGTATTTTGATTCCTTTCTCCTCCTGCACAAGTCACGTTTGCAGCAATTTTGACTTCTAGGAACTTTGCAAACACTTCTCCCTTCCTGCAACTAATTATTTGCTTCGAATTTCAGAGCCTGGGATGCACCCCTCATCCTCCCTGTGCCCCCGGATTTCCTGGGAAATGTGGCCAGGAGCAGCTGGTTTCCACCAGCAGCAAACACCTCTGATCAGGCTCTGGGGACTGGTGCTGCCCCTCTGACCAGGGCCAGTGGCCTCTTCCTTAGCGATGGCTTTTCCTTCTGGTCTAAATCTTCTCCCACATTTCATGTCCTTTCTAATGCTTTTTATTCCTCCCTACACTGCTCTGGGAGATTTGGGAAGCTGCATAAACACCAATCTGCACAGCACACACCACCTCACACCTTTGAAGTCATCAGACCCCGACATCTCACAAAGTACACGATGCCACAGGACACCAAGGCAGCACCCCTGACCTCCTGCCAGCAGCAGAGGTTGCTCAAATAACAGGGGAAAGCTATTTCCAGAGCTCTGCCCCAAAGCTTCACTCCTCTCCCTCCTTCTGCTGATGGGAAAGACTGCAGTAGGCCAAATTCTTCCCTTTGGGCTAAAGATGGGTTTCTGGAAGTTATCAGTCAAGCCTCTCTTGGGAACATAGCTACACGTCCTACTTGCTCTGTGGTGATGCTGTAGATGACCCTCTCTCCCCACCAAGCCCTGTTTTATCTTGCCACGTGCCACCGAGGGCAGGATGTGCCAGTGACCTGCCTGCCCCTGGTGCCAGGAGGGGAGGCAGAGCCCACCTTTAGGCTTGTACTCGCAGACGTAGCTGTGCTTGGCCATGCACAGGTCGGTGTTGCACTGGCCCGTCGGGCCCATCCGGACGCAGTGGTCAGCGTTGGAGGGATGGGGTTCTCCTGGCAGCCAGTTCTGACAGCTCTCCAGATTAAATCCTTCCCCTCTTTGCTGCGCTCCAGAGCTTGCAAAATCATTGAATCCAATCCAGACATCGAGGCTCCTTCACAAAAAAAAATAAGAAGGGGGAGGGGGGATTTCAGGAAATCATGAGTATTAGAAAGAGCTGGGAGAGCTGCCATCTATGGTTCTCTCTAAAAATAATAACAGCTTCATCGGGGTGTCACAGGCTGCATTTAATGGGGCTTGGAGCAACCTGGGCTAGTGGAAGGTGTTCCTGCCCATGGCAGGGGGTGGAACGGGATGAGCTTTAAGGTCCCTTCCAACCCAAATCATTCTATGATTTTATGATTTTCTGATCCTGTAATGAGCAGGTTGACTTGAACCTCCCCCCCTCCTTGGAGCAGAGCACTCTGTTACCATGGCCTGCCCACACTGCAGCTTAAACGACCCTCACAGGTTCTACTGAGCCTGTTTCGAGTCATGACCCAAGAGGAATGTTATGGTCAAACACAACTGTCCCAGAAAGCTGAATCCTTCAGAAAACTTGGGCTCCATCTGTGCAGACCTGTGGGATTTGCCAGTCCTCCACTGCAAGTGCAGCGGGCACCAGTGCAGGATCAAAGCTCAGCGGTGCCAGGTCTGGCAGCTCCTGTTCTCTCGGATGCAGCTCACGGAGCCCTCAGGGAGCAGCCAGGGTGGATAAGCAGAGGCAAAAAGCACTGCAGACAGCTGAACCCCCCCCCACACACAAGAAACTGCCAGGCTCGTTTCAGGAATATGAAATGTCCCTTCCCCATTTGGAAAGCGGCTGAATCCCAGCAGAGATTCTGGTGGGAAGTGCTGAGCGGTCTCTCACAGCCACAGACAGCCTGGACAACTGTTTCTGATCGCACCCAGCAGAAAGCGAGGCATTTGTTCCATATTAACTTCTATTAACTTCTCCATATTAACATCCTGCACCCTTCCAACCCCTCAGCTTCTTCTCCACACTCCCTCCTGCAGGTTGCAATCAATCCTGCCATGACCTTGCCTGCCCCAGCGAGCTCCTGGGGTGGTACCACGGCTCTGCAAAGCAGGCTGGGGAGATAACTGGTGTCTCTCCACCCCCAGGCCCACGCCAGATGAAATGATTCATGAGGTCATGCTGAAAAACGATGACAAAAATAACTGTTCTGTGAATCAGTAGTTTTCATTGCAAATATGATTAAGAAGTAAATAAGGGCTGTGTTCTGCTCCCGAACCACTGGCAGGGAATTAGGGGGAGCAGGGCAGGAAACTGCCTGCGTGCTGCCATCAGGAAAAGTCAGTGGAGATTTTCCTTTTCTAATTCCAGCTATGAGCTAACTGCAACTCATCAGGAAAAAAAAACAAAAGGGGAAAGAAAAAAGGGAGAAACTAAAAGAGGAGCTGCTGGCTGGCTTCCACCCTGCCCCACTGCCTGGCCTGTTCCCTTGCAGGGAGGAACAGGAGGACTCTGAACACACTTTTCTGAAGCAAGATGTGAGAATCCCACTGCCTCTGAGGAAGGACTGAGCTACCCTGCTGGGGCAGCAGGAGCAGAACAAGCCTGGGGAGGCTTGGAATGGGAGAGGGGCTCCCTGTGCTGCCTCGAGGGGAAAGTGGGTTCCCCTGGAAGGTCTCACCCTCTGCTTCTGGAGGCAGGGAGAGACCAACTCAGCACATGCTGCTCCTGCAGAGGCCAACTCACACAAGGAGCGAAGGAGAGGACAGCGGTGCTGCTGCTCTAATGGAAAACAGCTTCCTGCCTCTGCCATTTTCCCATCAGAAACTATGGGAGCTGCATGTTCCAAAAACCTGCAGCTCGGCTGCTTTGCCTTTTATCATCAGGGAAACTGCATCCTGGAACTGCCCCCTGCATGTTTATCTGAATGGATTAATAAAATAAACACAGGGAATAAAGGGGGCCGGGGGGAGGCCAGCGAGGGGCAGCAGCTGGGGAACAGCCTGGGCGGCCCTGAGCTCTCGTGGTTTCCGTGCCGCGGCTCCTCGGTCCCGCACGCAACGCCTGACACGCCAGAGCACCCAGTGACCAGCTCCTAACCCTGCAGAGGGACAGCCTGCTCCGCCCCAGAGCAGGGACACATGTTTGCAATCTCAGGACAAAGCCCCGTGTGAAGGGAACAGGGCACGGACACAAGTTTGGGAAGAAGGGGCTGTCAGCCCCGGAGCGGGACCGTTCGAAGCCTACGTCACACACAGCTGTTCCCTTCCCTGGGCTTTCTGGGACGTGTTTATGAGGAGCCCATCTCCCACATCTGCAGCTGGGAGTGCTGACAAGGGCTGTCAGGCCCTGAGAGCTCTCCTGGTTGTCCTCCCTCCCCCCCAAAACGGCTGGCTGGGGAAAGGGCACTCGGAGGGGCGGATTTAATCAAAGGCTGACACTTGCAGTGCTCTCTGTTTATAAAGCCCAGTCCTGAGGTGGAACAGATGCTGCTGGAGCCTGAAACTCAGAGAGGAGTCAACAGGATGAGAAACAAAAGGGAAAAGGGTCTGGGCTTCAGGCTGCAGCTGTGTCTGGAAGGGTGCAGGATCCTGTCTGAGAGGCAGGACTGCAGCACTGGCCTGGGCTTTGCTACAGCAGCTGCTCGATGCCACAGGGTCAACATGGGACAATCCAGCTGCAGTTCTGCTGATGGAGGGAGTTGGTCACACTCACTCTTGTGTCACCCTCGCTCTCATGTCATCCTCATCCCCATCCCCATGTCACCCTCTGGACAGGAGCACCTGGACCTGGACCTCTCCCCCACTCAGCCTGAGCCTGTAGATTTTGCTGCACTCATAGAATCATGGAATCACAGAATACTTTGGTTTGGGAGGGACCTTCAAGACCATCCAATTCCCACCCCCTGCCATGGGCAGAGACACCTTCCACTAGCCCAGGTTGCTCCAAGCCCCGTCCAACCTGGCCTTGCACCTCCCTGCACCATTTCAGAGGCACCCACAGGCATAAACACGGGATACAAGTGCCCACCCATCCTCAGTTCCCTGCTGTGACTTCCAGTCGTTCTGTCCCCATTCACCTTCTTCCCTCCACAGGCTTTAGGGAAAGTAGTCAAGTCCAGCAAGGGTTCAAGCTCTGCTCTGCTCAAAGGGCTCCTCCTCTTTGTTCAGCAAATGTGACCCCAGGAACACTACACCTGTCCCTGGGTGATCCTGACCCTTCCCCTCCTCACTTACCTGATGACATGAGCAACCAGGAAGCTCTGGATCTCGGGGCTGCTGACAAAGGCCAGCTCTCCGTTGCCGTGCTCCTGGCAGTGCCGCTGGGCCTCCAGCCACTCCGCCTTCTCCACCACCAGCTGATAGCAGTGGTTATTGCCCGGGAACACCAAGCCATCAGAGGGGCACATGGGGTGAACTGCTGCATAAAGAACACAAACGTGGTGTCCTTTCCATGGGCCACACGTCCCAAGCCAACCTGGAATGAGGGGCTCCAGGAACGTCCTGGCCCTGGAGCCAATAAACCCCATCTGCTGCTGAAGTGCAAAACCCTGCCTGGTCAGCCAGGGGAGCAAGAAGCCCCCAGAGGAGTCATCCCCTCCCATCCCTCATTGGGATGGCCAAGGGAAGGCCCAGGATGCAGTGCCACCCCTCCCTTGCCCAGCTCCCCCTTCAGCCAGCCCTGCTTACCCCTGCCCGGCTCTCCGGCCTGGGTGATCCCGTACAGCACCACGAGGCCGGTGCCGCCTCTGTTGCGGATCCGGATGTCCAGACTCTCGTTCGTCTTGACCAAGGAAGGACACTGCAGTTCCAGCTGTTGGGGTGAAGCCACCACCTCAACCTCTGCCTGCTCATACAAGACCTTGGTGCCCACCAGGATGGTGGCGGTGACGTTGTACCGCCCGGGCAAGGCGTACGTGTGCACAGCTGCGTTTCCAGTGGTGTTGAGAACCTCTGTCTGGTCCCCAAATTCCCACAGTAAAGTGCTGACAGCGATGGGAATACTGACATTGAAGAGCACGGCCTGGTGCAGGCTGTAGCGGGGCTGGAGTCCTGTGAAAGACACAGGCAGCTGGGCCTGGAAGGGCGAGGGGACGAGTGACGGGCCACCACAGCCCTGCCCGGACAAATGCTCAGTGCAAAATGGCAAACAGCCAGAGGAAGAGTTTGTTTCATGGGCAGTTCCACACAGACATTGCCCCAGGGAGCTGAAACCTCCATATTCCTGGTCTTGGGCGTAGCACAGGGCACTGCAGGTCTCCTCGCTGAGGTTCCCGGCGTGGACAGACGTGAAGAGCACGACAAGTTCAGCCCCTTCCGTGTGGTTGCTTGTCAGACACGTGATATACTGAGCTCCTGTGGGACAGAAGAGAAGATCCTCTTGCAAACTGACACTGTGGAAGCCACAGTTTGGTGAGACCCTCCCAGAGACACCACCCCACGCTCCTGGGCACGGAATTCTCCTGCGCAGCTCCTACTCCGAGCATTTCCTTTTTGAGAGTTGCCTGGGAAGTCTTTAATCCCTCAGCAACGGTTTCCAAACTCCTCATGCTAATTAATGATGACAGAAATAACAAGCCAGTCACACAGATTTATGGAGCAGCTACACTCAGTAAATAAAACGAGGCTTTGGAGAGCCTGCCAGTCCCACGGGACATGGAGCCACCACGTCTGACGCTCAGAGGAGCCCAAAGGACTCGCCACCAACTGAGACCATGACAGAAGGTTGTCCCTTGGTGGTACCCAGGTCTGATGCAGCCTATTTCATCAAGTGAATGATGTCCCTGCCAGGGACAGCCAGCAACAAGCCCATAATCAAACACTCTTGGGCAGTGGCACATCGGAGACTTGGGGCAGACACTGATGGATTCTCCACCAGGCCCACGCTGGAGCTGGGCAGTCCCTGCAGCCACCTCCCTCCCTGGGGAGAGCCAAGAGCTTCCCACCTACCCACAGGCAAAATGTGGTGCTAGAGACGAGGGCAATGGCAGGCACAGCCTGCAGCCCAGAGCTGTGGCAGGATAAACATCGGGAGGATGCCCGGAAACAACATGTGCACCGACACACACAGGCATGGACACAGGCACAGAGAGCAACGGCAGCCACGACAGCCCCATTCCCTGAGGAACAGCTCATTCCTTGGAGTTTAATTCCCCTTCTCTGGTTTGCACAGGGTGGGACATTTCCCTGCCACAAACACCCAGGCAGGGCCTCTCCCTCGGCCTCTGCCCACGCAGCCCGGCCACACTGGCTCCGCTGCTCCTGCTGGTTGCTACAACATCTCCCCCAAACATCTCAACAGCTCCATGTGATCTTCCCAGATCGAACCCATCCAACTGTCCAGCTTCCTCCACCGCCCTCCTGCGAACCCTGAGCCCCTTCCCCTCAGAGCAGTCCCACGAGGAGGACCACGGCGTGGAACTACTCTCTGTTTTTACCACCAGCCTGGTCATTCCTCACTCCCTGCCGGTCAGTAACAACTGTCAGTAGCTGGCAGGCTGTCCCAGCCTACTCCCATTACACTGAATTACCCAGAAGACAGCCTCACATTATTGTTTCCACCCTGGCCTAAAGTAGTTCAAGAGGGAATAACTAATTATCAAGGGGAGTAACAGTGCCAGTGCTTTTCCCTTTGATAATTCCTGCAAGATGCTGCAACGCTGGAGTGACTTTGCTGGGGAAAGAGGAGCAACTACAATCCAGATTTTGCTCCTGGGGAGGCCTGTGCTTTACCAGGCAGCCCAACTGGCTCCCACCAGCTCTGGATCCCTCAGCCTCATCCCTGCATCCTCCTGTCACACAGCTCCAGGTCCCTCATCCCTGCATTCTCCTGTCACACAGCTCCAGGTCCCTCAGCCCTGCATCCTCCTGTCACACAGCTCCAGGTCCCTCATCCCTGCATTCTCCTGTCACACAGCTCCAGGTCCCTCATCCCTGCATCCCCCTGTCACACAGCTCCAGGTTCCTCATCCCTGCATCCTCCTGTCACACAGCTCCAGGTTCCTCAGCCCTGCATTCTCCTGTCACACAGCTCCAGGTTCCTCAGCCCTGCATTCTCCTGTCACACAGCTCCAGGTTCCTCAGCCCTGCATTCTCCTGTCACACAGCTTCAGGTTCCTCAGCCCTGCATTCTCCTGTCACACAGCTCCAGGTTCCTCAGCCCTGCATCCTCCTGCCATGAATTAAAGGAGATGCCTGATCCCTGCTGTGGGGAACACCCTCCTTCCCTCTCCCTCACTCAGGGATAGCTGAGCAGCATTATTTTTCTTTGGGGTCCCCCTTTCCACCTCTATCCAGTTAATCACTGCCTGATGTTTCTGCTGGCCAACAGTCAGAAAAACGCCCCAGGAGCAGGTGAGGGGCTGTAGATGGGGCAGTGCTCATTCAGCACTCCCAACGTGGAGCCCCATCACCTGCAGAGACTCAGCACGTGCCCAGGTCCTATCAGCTCCCACCAGATTTCACTGCCTAAAGTCACACTGTTAAAACCTTGAGAGAATGAAAGCCTGAGGCTGGAGGTCACTGAGCCAGTGTGCTGTGGTGGCTGCCCGATGCCTGGTCAGTAATCAGTGTTAATCTCAGCCCTGATGTGACTGACTGGATCCCTGAGGCACCAGGGTACACCCTGTGTGCCCAGTATTCGCTTAAATACATCAGAACTGGTGACTTGAGGTCTAAAGAGGCCAAAGTGAGCCCAGTACTGCCCCTGGTTCAACCACCTTCACCCCCACAGCATTTCCTTACCACAGGTGGCATTGGGGAACGGGACGTCGAAGAGGGACAGGTTTGCCACCTCGGGGGGGTGGGCACATCTCGTGTCTGACGCCTCAAGAACTCTCACTTTTCTGTCTTCCACCCAGCGGGGCAACCAGGACAGTTTGCAGTCACAAACAAATGGATTCCAACTTAAGTTTCTGTCAGAGGGAGATCAGAAATAGTTTGGGATTAGCGTGACATGTGCTAAGCGTTAATTACAGCAGTGTGCCGAGCCCTCCCTGCTCCCATCTGTGCCACTCCACTGAAAGGCTTTGGAATATCTGGGAGGGGAGTTAATGAATAGGGAATCAAGCAATAATTAACGTGATTTTTCTAGAGGCTAGAATTAGGCAAGTACTCCAAGTACTTTTTTAACTCTACAAATAACTGTTGCAATTAGAAGCAAATGACAGACACAATCTTATATCTAAAATAATCTGACATCCAACAGCCCCTGGATATGAGGGAGCCTCTCCTGCTCTGGGAGACTATTTACAGCTCCATTAAAAAATAGCTAGGAGAATAAAACTGATCTGTCAAAAAAAGAAATGCAAAGTCAATGATAATCTTTCCAAGTGGCAGTTTAATGAAAAGATGGAAACTTTAATTGCAGCTAAGCTTGATCCAAATTACAGCCTTTGGCACTCAGCTGTGAGCAGGACGGAGCTGGAAGCTGTGTGTGGAGCTGACGCCATCGGGGCTGAGCTGAACCACGACTGGGGCTGCAAGCACCACTTTGCCACTGCCCCCAGCAGGGACAGGCTCCCTGGGACCCAGCCCGGGGCCTTCATGTCTTTTAGAGCCACCTGAGAGCAAAAAAATGCAGAGCTGAGAATGCCCTTGGTGTCCTGTCCTCAGGGGGAATGTGGGTCTGAGCTTTTCTCTTGCTTGCCAAGAGGGTTTGCACGGGGTTAATCCTTTGGCTCCTTCAGACACAGAACTGCCATTACTGCTGTGACTTCATGCATCTGTCTGGAAATGTGTGGCTTTCCCTTGCCTCCCTCCACATAACACCAAAAGCTTTAATTAATTCAATTAAAAAAACCAGAACCTAAAATAATTGAATCACTTAGGGACACCACCTTCGCTTGGACACCTCAGTCAGGACCTACCATGCTGCAGAATCATCAGATGCCCCGGTCCCAAGGTGTGACCACACAAACAGGACAGTAACAGTGACCCAGAGCGTGGTCAGAGACAAGAACCTCAGCAGAGCTGCTGTGGGAGAGAAGCAGGGAAGACAAAAGGCAGTGGCAGAGGTTGGGGGTATCCAGGAGACAGAAGCAAAGTCTAGGAAGAGGTCAGGCTTGAAGGACAACAACAGGACTCAGGAGTAGGGCACAGACTAAGAGACTGGAGACACCCCAAAAGGCAGCACCTTGGTTGGGTACATGCCCAAGATCTCCCTGAGAGATCCCACCCCACCAGGAAGGCAAGAGCTGTTCCAAGAAGAGGTCTGAATAAAAGAACCGGGAAACAAAGAGAATGAACTTACATTTCACTTAAATTAAATAAATTATCAAATATTCCATCTTCTAATGTAGAAATCTGGTTGTGGCTTATATCTCTGCAAAAGAGGAAAAAGGAAAAGCAAAATTCATCACGTCAGTAGCGACTTCCCAGTCACTGCAGCTTTGTCACCATTCCCTGTGAGGGTGGGCAGGCCCTGGCACAGGTTGCCCAGAGAAGCTGTGGCTGCCTCTGGATCCCTGGAAGTGTCCCAGGCCAGGTTGGACGGGGTTTGGAACACCCTGGGCTAGTGGAAGGTGTCCCTGCCCATGGCAGGGGGTAGAACTGGATGGGCTTTAAGGTCCCTCCCAACCCAAACCATTTTGGGTTCAATGATTTTCCATTCACTAACACATCTTGTGACAATTCTCATTCTCTGGCCTCGATCTCCCCTCCATCCAGCAGCACAGAGGGTCAAAATCCTGCCCAATCCTCAATGCCAATTAGCAAATCACTGCACTGAGCAGCTAAAGGCCTTGAGGAAGGAGTTCATGGGCACGACTATCCAGGGCTCAGCAGGTGAGGTCAAACACAAAATAATCTTTGAAACATCAGCACATGTGCCAGGGCCCAGCTCAGCCCAGCACAAGGAGCTGCAGGTCTGGGGGGCAAGGGGTACTCACAGCTTTGCCAGCGAAGTCAGGCTTCTGAACAGCTGAACATCTAAACCACTGATCTTGTTGTTGGAAAGATCCCTAAGGAAAGAAAACACCACTTTCAGCCTTTGTGCAACCTTGTTTTGTCACATCCCCATTACCAGACCTTAGAAGAGCCTCTCTCCCAACTCCAGCCAGGCTCCTGACTGGAAGTTTGGTGTGTTGAAGCGGAGCACTTTTCCCAGCCAAAGAAAACACCTTTCCCAACCATAAAGCATTTGCTCCTCATGTAAGGTGTAGACAGAGACCAGGACTCTCGTTGTGTGCCCCACACCTGGAGCAATGACAGCCGTGACAAACGTGGCACTAAATGTGATGCATCCTTTTAAAACACAGTCTGGTCTAACATATGTTCAAAGAAGTCATTAAGAAATAATTTAGACTGAAGTAGTAATTAAGTTTAAGAAAAATGTAAGAGGAACTTCCAAGAGCATTTCTGGTGCCAAAGCTCTGATCGGTAATTACACAACTGATGCGTCAATTCTACATTTTAAACATCTTTTTTGTTTCTTTGGAAAAGCTTAAAATGGAGGAAGAAGCAACAAAGAATATTTTCCATTTGATATCAGGGCAGACTGTCCCTCTAAAAGGAACATTGCTTAAAAAATTCTCCAGTCGCTCCCAGTAACACCCAAACCAAACTGGCCCGTCCAGCCCAGCTCTCTCCTCTTCCCCAATTTTAAATGTCCCTCAGAGAAGAAGTGAAAGTTTCCCCGATCAGTCTCCACTTGTACCCAATAAACTTCACATTTTGGTTTCAGACAAATCTCCTCTGGCCTAAACTTTCTTTTAGCAGCATCAAAACACTCTGAGCCCATGTGATGGTTCTTATCCTTCACGGATCTCTGGCAGAGCTCCAGGGAGCAGACAGGGCTGGACACACCATGTCCTGCCTCCTGCTTTCTCACCTTTTACCCTACAAACACCTCTCCTCACTTCTCCTGGCTTTCTCACTGCTTATTTTTACCCCTTAATCAATTAATCCTTGGTTTGATCTGACATTTAAACTTCATTTATCCAAATGAAAATAATTCTGCCAAACTGGCAGGAAAATTGTGTATGATTCCAGGAAACTCTGGGGATAAGTAATGGGGATGGATGTCTCTTTAAAAGGTTTATTTTCCCTGATTTTGCTGTCTGGGAGTTCTTTGCCAAGCTGAGAGTGGATTCAGAAGAGTTCACCAGCAACACCACTACAGAAATCCAAGAAATGTGCAAAATAAAAGCTCAACAAATCCACTGAAAAAAAAGGATGTTAGCAAAAATACCCAATCTTTGCAATCTTTGTCTGGGGGCAGCTGGGACAGCAGTGGGAGAGCACAGAGCACCCCTGGCTCTGTGACACGGCCCACTGGGGGGTCACATTCTGCACAGGCGACACCAAAGACACCCCAAAACCTGTTTCCAGCTCCCCTTTGGAAGACAAGCACCCAAGACAACTCGGACTGGAATCCCAGCTGCTGCCAGGCAGGACAGAGCCCTCCATGGGGAGGCTCCAGCTCCCCTCCCCCTTGAGCATCTCCTGTACCTGGCACCCCTCTGGCCCCGCACCTGCCTGCAGTACAGAAAGGACCAGATCATCAACCAGTTCCCTGACAAGGAGAGCAGCACAAACACTTCTCTGCTGCTCTGAAATGCCTGGAAATCGCCCATTTAGTTTTAGGCAGCACCTCAAGTCCACGACTGGAGGAAATGGTGTTCCAGCTCAGATGCCTTCCTGCTCCTCACCCAGACAAGCCAAACCTCCAAAACAAACCGTTCAGCTGCTACAAAAACAGGGCTCTGCCATTTCCAAGGGCCTCTTCCAAGTGCTGCTTGGCTGCAGGGAGGGGGGAGCTCTCACCCTCACAGATGGCAGAGGGGCACCAAACCCTTGGGGCACCCAGCACCAAGCCCTCCCTGCATCTCTCCCATCCTGCTGCCTCCCAGCTGGGAAGTGAAGGATTCCAGCAGGGCAGATCTGCTCTTCTCCATCCCTCTGCCACCACGCCAGGCGGGATAGGTTGTCCCCAGCGCTGTCCCCAGCCCTTTACAACCATCCTTTGTTGTTGTTCCCATTCCATCTCAGAGGAAACTCTTAAACTTCAGATAAGGGAAGGCCAAGACCCAAATCCTTGACTCCCAGGGGTCAGTCAGCTTCACTGAATAATGTTAAGGTTACGTGAAATGCCAGGGCAATGGAGGTGGGGAAGGGTCTGGAGCAGCTGAGGGAGCTGTGGGGGCTCAGCTGTGGGAAAATTCCTTCACAGAAAGGACTGTCCAGCCCTGGCACAGCTGCCCAGGGCAGGGGTGGAGTCCCCATCCCTGGAGGGGTTTTAAAGCCCTGCAGATGTGGCACTTGGGGCCATGGGTTAGTGATGGCCTTGGCAGTGCTGGGGGAACGGTTGGACCCAATTTTTGAGGCCTCCCCAACCTCCTCTGTGCTGAGCCTGCAAGGGAAGCAGATCTCCTGTTGACAGGACTGAGAACTGGGAAACAGAGGTGGATCCAGCACCCTCCACCTCCAGCCACGAGTCAGGGAGCTGCCCTCTCCCCCTGCTCCCTCTCCAGCTCGTATGGAAAATCATAGCATGCCTTCCTGGCATGGGAAAGGTGGCTGTGAACCAAGCTGGGCTGCAGCAAAAAAATAAACCAGGAAATACTGAGCAATAAAAGCCAAGGCAAGGGCTGTGGGACAGAGCTGAGCCTGGCGGTGCCACGAACTGCCACGACTGTATTTTCCCAGCCCAGTGCCAGGCTGGAGGAAATTCAGAGCAGGTTCAAAGCAGAGCTGAAGCCAGCAGCAAACAAGGCTCTCCATTGACATGCTCTGCACATGCAGCCCAACGCCCTCCCCATGAGGAGAAAGAAAAATGTAGTTTCCTGTGTCCCGGGGGATTCTGAGAACAGGTTGTGCTGCCTGGAAAAGGGAAGTCAACTTCTCGGTCCTGCCTCAGTTTCCACACCTGCAAAATGGAGCTGTGCAGTGCCAGGGGAGGCTGGAAGGTTTCTCATGTTCTGTGAGATATGGGGCACCAAAACCCACCAACAACCATGGTACAGGACAAGAGCTGTGTTACAGAGGTCCCCTTGCAGCTCCCCAGCAAACACAGCCACGTTTCACTGACCAGCCAAGCACAGGGAGGGTTTAAAATCCTCTCAAAAAGGAGCTGGTTGTGTGAGGAAGGTGAAACTTTGGTTACGGGAACATTTAGTAATGAGGGCATCAACCTGAGCCTTGGGAGCCTTCAGCTCCATCCCAGCCCTGCTACCAGGTTCCTGTGTGATGCTGGGTGCATCCCTGAAGCTCTCCAGAGCTGTGGATAACCACAGCCCACCCCCCTGGAGAGGATGGATCTGTGAGGACACCACCAGCCCGACCTCCTGCTGATGGGCTGGGGGAACTTCTGGGGGTGCAGAGCACCGAGCCCCAGCTCCTCACACAGGAGCACCCAGGGTGGAGACGAGCAGGAGGGCTCAGTGCCTCGCTCTATCCCTCCTGGATGCTCAGACAGGCCCTGCAGAGCCCAGCTCAGGGTTATTTCTGCAGCACTGTGGTGGGCAGGCTTTTTTTGGTGCGCTGCTCAGTCCCACAGAACATCTAAAGCTCGGCAGAGCGGGGTTGGCCCCGCTGCCAAGCCTGATGTCATGCTCTCATTATGTCATTTGTGGGCCCGCTCTGCCCCCACCTCACAAACAGGGAGGGGAGGGGAGGGGGCAGCGCTGGCCTGTGCCTTCCCCAGCCCTTTTGGTGCAGGGAGCCCAGCCAGAACAGTAATGGGAAAAGCATCCGGAGATGGAGAGGAGAGTGCAGAGAGGAGCCTCTGTGCAGGCTGGGGTGGGAGGAAAGGAGCTCCAGGGCTGTAAGCCATGATCAAAGCTAGGATTGTCATGGAGCAGTGAAGCTCCAGAGGCACCAGGGAGAGACAGCTCCCAAAAACACCCAGCAGAGCCCAGCAGTGCTCCCAGCAATGCTCCCATTTCTCACCCCACCATCCAGGCTGTGGCTGCCCCAGCCCTGCAAGTGTCCAAGGTCAGGTTGGACGGGGCTTGGAGCACCCTGAGACAGTGGAAGGTGTCCCTGCCCGTGGCAGGGGGGTTGCACCAGATGGTCTTTAAGGTCCCTTCCAACCCAAACTATTCCAGGATTCTATGCAAAGCCAGGCTGCCCTGTCCCCACCCTGCAGGCAGCGAGGACAAGTGACAGAGGGACAAGCAAGGTGGTTGGTGAGACACAAGGAAGCCCCACTGCTTCCAGAGCTGTCCATCAGCTCACAGAGCCAAAAATGCCCAGGAGATCCCCTGCACAGCCCAAATGCTGCCTGCCATGTTGCCATGGCAAACACTTCCCTGTCTCCAGGAAGAAAAGGCAGCGTGGTGCTGATCCTGCCTGACGTACGGAACAGACTTTCCAGAAAAGAGCAGGAAAAACTCTGTGTGCTTTTTGCAAGCTGGAGCCAGGAAAAATTAGAGGATTTTGCTGATCTGATTCCTTTTTTTCCTAGTCTTTTGGCTTGCACCTCTCCCAGGAAGCACAGCAGAAGTCACAGTGCTTGTGTGCAGAGGTGGAGATCGTGGAGATCATCACCAGCTACTGGCTTCAATCATGCTGAAGCAGGGATTTTCCAGGCAAAAGGAGTCCAGCTCCACCACGCTTCACCTCCAAGAGCTGTAGCCCAGCACCAGGAGGGGCCTTTCGCTGGTGGCAGGCGGCTCTGAGCACCCTCATCTCCCCGAGGCTGACACGGCACGATGACAATTCATTAGCTCATTTTAAATTTACGAGTTTCAAATGCTGACCCGAGTCCTGGCTCCCTCTGAGGAATTTTTCCCAAAAGACATTTTCACAAATATTAATCTAAAACCGAAATGTTTTTCTCGCCGCAGCAAAATCCTATTGCAGACAGGAAAACGCAAGGCGCAGATGGGAGCATCTCTGAAACATTCTGTACTCACTGTGCCCTCCTGAGGAGCGACAGAGCTCTCTCAATATGCCCTGGCAGGGCAGCTGTGCCAGGGGTTGGCTGGGTTTGGCACAGAGCCTCTGCAGCACCATGAGC